TAGAAACGTCATCATTACCTACCGATTCCTCGCGGCCCCAGTTCGAGCAAATCGAGATTTTTTCTAGTATACTGACTATATATTTCAACTGTACGTACTTTTCTTAATATAGGCGCGAGTTCCTAGGGTGCCTCCTCGGGATTTCGCCTCTAGACGAAATCCCTGCGGGGGCAAGAACTATTAAAACAAGCAGCGAAATAAAGTTGAGGTTTGTGAATATTAAATATCCGAGAAAAAAAAAAACAAGATTGGTACATTAGAGGCGTTTACAAGTTTTCAAGGACACTAAAACTTGAAGTCCATATGAAACGATTATTCGTCTCGATAATAGAAAATTTTGAAACAAATTCATCTAGCCCTTGACAAATTATCTTCATGTTTGCAGGTAAAGACTCATTATTTACAAAAACAGTAGCAGGAACAGCTTAACGGTTCGTAATCAAATCGTTCTGTCTCAAGAACGGCTAACGCTATCCCCGCGGGTCACACTCTTCAAGCACTGAGACAAGACAATCATAGCCTGCAGTGCAGGCGTATTTTGGGTGGGCGAAAGCTTGTTCATGATCGTTTTGTTACTATATAGCCGCCATTTTTGATTTTACGACAGAGGAAGATTGGGGAGACTTTCAACATGGCGCTTTCGCGAGCAAAAACATTCGCGCGCCCGATGAAAGCGCCAGCACTGCAGGCTACGACAATCAAAGAGTTTTTACTAGGTAAACTAGGAATAATCAGAGCTTAGGAGAGTGCATTCGATACGTTTGTTAGGTGTACAGGTGGCAGTTGAGGGGGAAGGGTGGATGGTTATTGCGATACATTAATTTGATCATGGCATATTTTAAACCTAAGGATTGCTTACAGCGAAACCTCTATTTAAACTGTGTATCATTATGAAAAAGTCTTGAAGGTTAGTGATATCGTATAGTTGGTCTCAACAAGTGCAGTAATTTGGTCGAGTGTAGCCTGCGTAGCAAGCGTTTCCGCGTTAGTTCGTCGAGAAAGTTGGGACGACAGCAAAAAAAAAAAAAAGAAAAAAGAAAACACGGGGGAAGGGGAGCGGAGAGACGGGAACAAAGTAAACTTTTCAAATCTGATATTCTATTCGTTACCCATCTTAACGAGCTGTCAATTTACAAATGAGCTGAACCGTGAAATATCAAGGGGCCTTTTCCAGAATTGTGAGGTTTGCGGGCAAGCGTTTCCCCTTCTCCCCTCCCCCTTCCATATTTTTTACTCCCGCTCTAACGTTCGCGCTATAACTCGATTGGCAACGCTCGATACGCACGCTAGGCCTAGTGTGTTGATTTCAGTGATTTGAGTGGAGCTACTGTGGGCTGTTTTTCCGAATATATAACATAGACCTAAAATGTTCGTTTGTCCGGTGCTGAAAATATCACAAGTTTTGATGAAATGGCGCCTCCGAGTTTCATATCTCGGTAGATTTACCTTATGGCACAACAGCCGCCGGAACTTTTGAAAGATGAACGCTTTGGAAGATTCAGCAAACAGAGATCGATAGTACACCTTTAGCAAACTCTTGAAATATGTACGCTTTACGAAGATTCAGCAAACTATCAAAGATGAACGCTTTATGAAGACAGAATAGCAGTCCTCAGCAAACGTTTGAAAGATGAACGCTGAGGACACACGAATCACAACGTGAGTTGGTGCGTCAAAGTGAGGCAAAACGTAAGCAATCACCTCAAAGCGAGGCAAATGTTTGTCGACACAAATGCAATCTCAAAAAAACCTCGCTTATTAATTGCACAGGACACCCAATGACGCCCAGAAACCTAAGCAGAAATTAGGGGCTGCGTTCTCGTACCTCGAACGCAAATACAGTTCTGATTTATTTTAGCTGATAAATGTATTCGATTTAATTGTTGATTACACTGTTTAATTTAGTTCGTATTGCGGATAATTACACCCTTCATAAATACTCCAGGAGTGAATTTCGCACCACTTGACTCCAACCAAATTACTTTGGGCTGCATTTTCCTTTACATATTTTAAAAACAGTATTTATTTGTACAATTACACCGCTTTTAGCATTTGTTTTAGCATTTCTTCACCGTTAAGCCCTGTGGAAACGGACGCAACATTGTTGGTCAACAACTCCCAGCATTGTTGGATGTTACATGTTGCGTCCGTTTGCACACCCTGTTGCATGTTGCTGGATGTTGTTTCGTGTTGTTGCGCGAAGTTTGAAACCGGTCAAACGTTTCAGCCAACAACTCCCAACAGTTCTTTTGTTCGTGATCGCCGAAGAGTAGCGCAACAATGTTGGATCCGTTTGCACAGCTCTTCCAACATTGTTGGCGCCGCGCACGCGCATTACGCATTGTTTACAATGACGTATGGGTTGTATCCTTCCCACGATGCACTGCAGGAGTTGGGAGTTGTTGCATCCGTTTGCACACCACTGCCAACACGCACGTTGTTGCGTCCGTTTACACGCAGCCTTAGAACTTACCTCGTAACTTACTTCCTCAGGCTTTCTTTGTGTCCTGTAACTTTATTTTTCGCTGTTTATCTCTCATTTTGGTGCCTTTACTGTAATCTTGTAAAATTAGTTTAAACATAGGCACATTTAACGTGCACGAGCCATTTTGAATGCTTCAGTGTAACCGTACCAAGAATGATGAATCTACCTTTTTTATCCTAAATATACAGTTTTATTGTGCGAAATTGGGTATTGCTGTAAATGAATGAAAACGTGAAACGCTCAGCTGAGTCGATCCTCGTGTACCCTGCGAGTAGAGGCTAGGCTCTTGCCGATTGTGCTAGCATAATTTTTGGCATAATCTGAGGAATTGAGCATAATTTTTGCCCTTTTTCCAAAAGTAGCACTGCTAGCATAATCCGTATATTTTCTTGTCTTAATAGCACAATTTTAGAATAATTCAAGAAAACGAAGATCTCAGCTACTAAAAACGATAGATTACTATTAACAGTTGCTTCCACTCCTATTTTTCGATTTTTTTTTACTTGTGTTGAGATACCGCGGGAGTTCGATGAAACGGAACCGGAAGTCTGTGTCTCGGTCCCAGACTCCTTAGTCTTTCTCCCAGTGCTCGTTTCAAAATGGCGGCCGCCACGCCAAACCAGTCAAGTGCAGTGAACTTACATCCAGATAGTTTACAAGGTTGCGAGAACAGAGAGGATAGACCAAAGCCTGCACAACTTGCCCGGGATAGACGCCTCGAATCCACCACACTATCCAGGCTTTGTGCAACCTACTTTTGTTCGCTGGATAACTATCCGCTGGATAGCAGATTTATTCGCCGTATAGGCCCAACCACCGGATAAAGTTACCCAGGTTTTGAACAACCGGGCCCAGAACGTCTGGCCAGGGTTAATAAAATACATTTTCAAACTTGTCTTGTGAGTTGGGAAGTTTGTGCACAGAATAATTTTTTAAAAAAGTAACATAATTTTGAAAAGCGAGCATAATTTGAGCATAATTTGGGCAAAAAACGAGCACTGCCACTAGCATAATATGCCACTTTTACTAGCACAATCGGCAAATGCCTACTAGAGGCTACATTTTCGCGGTATGAGCTGGCGTGCGAAAACTTTTCGCACGCCAGCTCATACCACGAAAATGTAGCCTCTGCTCGCAGGGTAATCCTCGTGCTATATATTCACTTTCTTCTGTCTTTCCCTGATACATCTGGTGCAAGATACACAAATTGTTAAAGTACAATAAATATCCACTCACCAAACGTTGATTAGAAGGGAAACTCGAAGGTCTCTTCGGAGTTTCTTGAGAAAATTAGAACGGGTTATAAATGCCTTAGTGTTTAGCAAGTTATACCACTGTTCTCCGGTGTGGTCTAATACTTCAAAGAAAAATATCTCGAAGCTGCAGAAAGTTCAGAATTTTGCTTGTAGAATTATCACTGGAAAGCGGAGATTTGATCATATAACACCGGCATTAAGAGAGCTAAGGTGGCTCCCCGTGACCAGTTTTCTGAAATATACACTTGGAGTTTTAGCATTTAAATGTGTAAAGGGGTTAGCCCCTAGCTACCTTTGTCATAGATTTAAGACACGTGATTGCGTTCATGACCGTAATACTAGATATAAGAATAACTTGAATATCCCAGCTTATAAGTCAGCTTCTGGGCAACACACATTTTTATACCGTACGACGAGTTTCTGGAATTCTCTTCCATGTGAAATAAGAGGATGTGATAATTTGCCAATCTTCAAGAGACATTTAAAGGAATTTCTCAATAGTTTTTAATTAGTGATGTGATATATTTTAACATCTATTAGAATTTTAGATTTTTAATTTTAATGTATTTAGTATTGATTGTAATTAGTTTTTAAAACCCATTTAGTGGAAAACTAATAAACACATTACAAAACGTGGCTCATCGAATATCGAATAGTTACGAAATATCAGGACTTTTTATCAATGTGGTAGATGGTTGCACCATCATAATTCACGAAGTTTTCACGTACGATTCTACTCAATGAAACAGTCTTTAACTCTGACGATTTAAGTCTTCATGTTTTAAGCTATTGCTTCTTAAAAGGCAAGAGCCTTTACTTAAAGCATTGGTGACAAAACAAAACAGGTCTTCATACGTTCAAGTTTCTACTATTACTGTGAAAAGCCAATCTGCATGAGACGTACAGTCACACAGCTGGCACGCGAATGTGCAGGACTTTGCCCCCTTTCGTGGTTCGTACGTGAGGGAAATAGAGGATATTACATGGCCGCGCGGAGATACGAAATTTCTCTTCGAGTGTTGAAAAATATTTCATGAGTGAGCGCAGCGAACGAGTGAAATATTTTTTCAACACGAGAAGAGAAATTTCCTATCTCCAAGCGGCCATGTAATATCCTATTTATTATATAAACACCAATGAAATACCAAACCATTTCACTTTAATAATTTTTGGTGTGAAAGGCGCGATTTATTATGTAGCCATAGCAAAGGTGATATTTTCACATGTGAAGATATCAAGTTTTCGCGCGAAAGCTCATCTGGCATTTCATTGGTGTTTATATAATAATTCGAGTTATCACACAGTAAATCTAGTAAACAGGATTATAAAAATAACTCACGCACACAATTTGCACATAAAGATGTTGGACTTTGCCCTTTTTACAATTTATACGTAAAAGAACGCAGATTGTTTACGAGATTACTTTGCTCAAAAAAATTTTTAAAACAAGTCATTGTTATATAGCCGGACAGCGCGGGCTCTCATTGGTTACTTTGAGGTAATATGTCATCTAACAATAAAACTGTTTCGCGCCACAATCTCAGAGCGGGCTTCATTGCAAATCTACGACGTCAGAGGGTAACAGTGCACTGCCACCGGCGAATGTTGACCGACGGGAAACATTAAGATTTTCGGGAAACAAAATAAACTGTTTCTCTCTGGTCCAGTCATCAAGTGTTTATTATGGGAGATGTCAGGAGTCGACTAGGGTCCTGGAGATGTGCAAATAGAGAATAACTATGCACTGAATAATACTATCTAATGGGCTTCGGCATAATACAAACTTGAACTGGCGAACAGAGATTGATAACGCCGCTGATCAAACTGTCTGCAGAGTTCTTGGTTTTCTTTGTACCTCTGACTTCCACATCTGAACCGCTGACCGCGTGTGAACTAAGGCTCAGCACACCTGCTTCATCCACATCAGAACTGTACTTAATAACTAATGAGACCTCGATCAAGCCTGGTTCTGCAATAAGAGAAAACACGGGTTTTACCATTGTATTCACACCGACAAAGAGCTAGTTTTAGACTTGCAAGGGACGCTCGCCAAGCGAAGGACGTAAGTCGGGCTTTGAGAAAGTCTCGGCTAGTTTATTCTGATAGTTTCTTCCGAAGTTTTCAAACTGTCGTGAATTATTTCCTTAAGCACCACGGGGCTCAAATCTCCTTTTAATTAAAAACGGGAAATTTGAGCCCTAAACGTACGGGAAAGATTTAACGACTGCTTAAAAATTTCAGAATTTACAAGGATTTGTATGAAAAACCATTCAAGCGGGACTGGGTGGCAAGAGTTGTTTTCTCATACTTCTCCTTTTCCCTTTCTAATTTTCGGAGGCCGTTGCAATCGCTACTTTTGAGACATACGGCTGAAAATTTACAGGTTACCGAATTTGAATAATTATGCTCTTTCTTTTTTCAAAAGCGAACTGTCTTCGTGTTTACCTAAAGTTGATCACGTGATCAACTAATGCAAGCGGGACACATTTCGGCTCCAGTTACCTTCTTGTTTCTAAAGTGGCGATTATGAAAGATGAGTGAAGAAGCAAAACAGGTTAAGACATACCAGACCATCCAAGATGTGATAAAATGACTGTAGTAGAAAGTCGTTGCTTTTGAGGAGATATCACATGAAAGTCATCGCGTTTGGGAATGAACCACTGGCAACTTAAATCAGGAAATACAACCTGCAAGATGTTATTGTAATGATTGGTATATACAGGAGAGTTGTTCAGGAGGTTAACTACAGTTGAACTTCCATGGAGCGGCCACCCTTGGGCGGGGTACCGGCAAGTGGCCGCTTTAAGAAGGTTGACCGCTCAATAGAGGTTCGTCAAAAATTTGTATAATCTTTAGCAGAAACATCGCTTTATTTTTGAAACAAACGCACGAAGGGAGCAGCATTACTGGTCCAAAATCGGTCGTCACCTTCTATCTCGGACTGTATTTTCCTTCATCATAGTCTTGAAATAAAGCTAATCTAAGTGTATCAAACGTTTTAATGGCCGCTTAGGGACTGGTCAAAAAGTATAGGCGGGGGTGGGCTGGAGCATTTGGAAATGTGGTTGATAAAAAAACACATGACCCACCCCCTCCCTTCGGCACAAAAAAGACTGACCCACCCCTAAAGCAAGGTTGGAAATTGCATGACCCACCCCCTAGTTAAAACATGGATGTTTCGTTTCCTCTTAATAATCCAATAAAACCTTGTAGTAAGTGTAGTCAACTGTCTCGTTAGTAGTTAGTGCCTATCTATGTAATAAAATAGGGTGACCCACCCCCTCAGGGTAGCTGAAAATTGGCCGACCCACCCCTGGCACCAGGCTCAAAACCTCATGACCCACCCCCTCTCTGCTCCGGCCCACCCCCCCTATACTTTTTGACCAGTCCCTTAATAGAGGTGACAACAATGGGAGAACTCTCGTTGGGACGGACAAAAGGTGGCCGCTTATTATAACAGAAGTCTAGGTCCCAATTTTTTCTACAAGTATTTCGGGACTTTAATTACTGGCCGCTTGATAGAGGTTCGACTGTATTAACAGACACATCCAAATGGGAGCATGGAAGGTGAAGTGTTGAGAGCACTCTCCTTCCACCAATGTGGCCCGGGTACGTATCCTGGCGTCGACGTGGATTGAGTTTGGATTGAGTTTGTTGTTGGTTCTCTCCCTTGCTCCGAGAAGTTCTCCGGTTTTGCTCTCTCCTTAAAAACCGACACTTTCAAATTCCAATTCGATCTGGAACGCACGGACACGCTTCAACGAGTTCTAATGAACTCTTAGGTGCTCCGTATAGATAAACATATTATAATTTACATAGCTTGCGTAGCAGGCACTAGGAAATAAATGGGCGCAAGAAAGGACGGGCGGAGGGAGACACGCGAGGCGCCCATTTATTTCCTAGCGCCTGCTACGCAGGCTACAATTTAGAATTCTTTTACGAGGAAATAATGGTTATGCAACATTCCCCTCCTCCCAAACCAATAGTGTCTAGTCTTTCTTCAACTACAAACAACATTCTGGCGTGGGGGGATTTACGGCGTTTAAACATAATTTACTTTATCTTTGAATTTCTCCAAGAATTCTTGTTCATTTGAGAAGCTATATCAAAAACTCCCCTCAGTGTTTCATCCGATGTCCAGACAACTCGAGGTCGGTCTCAGAAAACTCGGCCGTGCCTCATTTTTCAACCCACTTCTCGGTGTCTGGATATCGGATGAAACATTGCGTGTCGTTTTTGATATATTACATGAAATTGTTGACACAAGCATTTTGTCGCTCTTGTCACTGATTATAGATTTTGCTGTTTATCAGTAAGAACAATGCAATACAATGATAAGTGCCATACTGACCTGTACTCTGACCTTGCTTGCATCTCCCACATTCTCCAATACTGCTTCAACATTGATTCCCAAAGTCAGGCCAGCAGAGAAGCATAGGGGATTGTCTGAACCGCCATGTGGCTCGTTTATGACTGCAGATGCTTGATGCAAACTGTTCGCCAACTGTAATTGTGCAACTTGATAAGAGAGAACGATGGAGTGAACATAATTCATTACCTCCGACGGGTTAGTGATGTTAGATTCAAAGAAACTGGGAAATGAGACAACCGCTGCCGAAAAAGCATCTGTGTGAATGTTCTCCTCGTTGATAAAGTTTGAAAACGTTTTGATCCTCATCAAAAAAGACTCCCAGATCTGAAGCATGGAATTTAAGCTTCTGTCACGCGCGCTGCTATAACGTTGTGTGACGAGAATCTGTAACGCATGCGCAATGAGCCTCAACTGCCGTAGTAAGAACATTTGTTGATGACTAAGGCCCATAAACATATGTTCAATGCGATAGGACGTCAAAAGAATGTTTTCCACTAGGGATTTCAGTCCCGACCCCTGATGGGTGCAAAGCACTGCAGGTATGCTCCATATTTTGTCATTCTGAGCCTGCAGTATCATTCTGTGACACTGAAGGTACAGAGAAAGGCACTCGGCATCACCACTAAGAGACGAATTGATGCTCTTTATATGAATCAAATCTTGAATGGCTGTTTGAAGACCTTGCTGGGCATTTACTGGATTCTGTGATGCAATGCACTGAAGCCGCAACTGGATGCTTTCAAAAAACCTCTTTGCCTTTTGGGATCCTAAAAGAAAATGGACAGTGACAACAACGAGTCGTTTCCTCACAACTGAGTAATATCACAAATGAAATTACTGTTGTGGATCAGAGTACAGCAGACGTGTCCTGTTTAGATTATATATTAACATGATAATAGTAAGCTCGGTTTTCTAGTTGGCGACCTTATTACATTTTTTAGTTTAAGATAAGGAGCCAAGGAAAGCAAGGGTGTCCCTGTAAAATGAAAATAGCTTAGAATGCGGTTTTGTCACAAAACCTCATTCTACGCTATTTTGGCTAAACTCTGTTTTAAAACCAACCCTCACGTTTCAACTAACTCCTCACCTTCTTCTTCAGTTCTCCTGTGATCTACGTTGACATCAACTTTCTCTATATCCAGATGTGGTACCAGATCAGGTTGACTGTCACGCAGGTATCCATAGTGACGGGTGGTGTAACCTGGAAACATGGTCAGCATTGTGGGACTTTTAGCCGTAGCATTGAATACCAGAATAAGAATGGCTACGTAAGCAGGGTCATCAATGGACGGTTCAGGTGTGGCAAAGAATGGATGAGTAGACAGTAGCTCAGGTGTAAGGGATGACGCAAGATGTTGATGCTTTTCACCCAGAAATTTGGCACATCTAAAAGTAAAGAGAAAAAAAATATCGTGAGATTAAAGGGGCTCTGTCACGGCCGTCTAGATTATTTGTTAACATTACCAATAAAGAGGAGAAGTCGTTACGTAACGTTGCCATGGTAGCAAAATTTCTGGATGACAAGACGTGAATTCGCACTGTTTGACTCCATCGATCTTATTCAGTTTCAATTAATTTGTCAAATGTTGGCTTCATTTTCTCCATGCTCTCTTATGCTTTACGTCATGCTGTAGTCATGTGAACGCTATATTTCAGTCAACTTTTTCAGAATTTTATAGGTTTACGCAGAATTTGTACGTAACTTAGTTTTCATCATTCGTTTGTTGGTTGTAGCAATTGATTGTGTGGCTGAAACTGGAATGAAAGCTACATTTTTTTGAATGAAAAACACACTCTTTTGTCCTCAATTTAGTACCCAGAACGCTGGAAATCACATTTTAGGGCTTTGAAATTTCCAAATATTTATGGGGAAGTACGTCCCCAGATCCCTCTAGAAAAAGGGGACTAACGGCCCCTTGTTGATACAGTCGAATACTCTTTTCAAACCTGCTGGCTACTTCAATTTTTATTGAAACCCCTGCATGTTATCCGAGACAGCTGTACGCGCGTGCAAAACATGGCAGGTATCGTGAATAAGGTCCATTATGTCATCATAAGGGATCATGAATATTCAGTGGAGTTTGGATTAAAAGAAACAGTTCTCTTGCATATTATAACATGACCTACTCGGAGAAAATAAAACATACAAGCTAAAGAGGTCTATTCTTAACTCTCACCTCTAGTGCAGCAAGCACTGATGTCTACCCAAAGCAGCTCTTACCTCCATATAGACGTCCTGTCTTGAGGATATTTTGACAAGTTTCCTAGCAACGCATGGATGGTGGCATGAAGACTTGCCCGGGTGGATAAGGTGCAGTGACACAACAGCTCGCGCACTGCTTCTCTGGTGTCTCCAGAGAAGTCTTCCAGGACACCTAGCAGTGTTTCCAACTGATCTTCCCTCAATTGAACATGCTTGCTTATCTTACGCAGACTGTTGATGGCATTTAGTCGCACACTTTCAATTTCATCATTCATCATGTCAGCCAGGAAATCCAGTGACAGGACTGCAAAAGGAGCGTTTCGATAAGCCAACTCGCAGAGGGAATCAACAGCAGCAGTTCGCACTTCCAAGAACTCATCCTCCAAGCCATGGACAAATGCTCCGCATGCACCACTACTCATGAGGCTGATGTCTTCAGGGTCAATCTCTGGTTCCGGTGCTTTATCACCCCATGTTCGTCCAGTGCTCCAGCCCTCATCAGCTCCACCTGCTGCATGAATTTCCTTGCGCTTCTCATGTTCAGTCTTCCTTTTCTAAAATGCAAGTATAAATGAGTCATTAAGAAGGGCAATGTAAAGTTTTGGAGAGATAAAAAACAGCAAGTAACAGCCTATACAGTTATCAGTTAGAGTACCATCCCACCGATTGACCTCCAACAATAGGGAGCTTAAGCAGCGACGTTTTTGAGCGACGCACGTCGACCGGAAGTGAGGTATTTTCCCTCTTAACATGCCTTGATGATATAAAATTTGTATTCCTTAGCTTCTTTACTGTTATAGAGGCGATTTGACTGAAAATTTGCGCGAAACCACCGTCAAAAAATGAAAAAAGGCCACTTCCGGTTGACGTGCGTCCCTCAAAAACGTTGTTGCTTAAGCTCCCTAATAATTATTATCACATGAATATTCTGAACAAATCCCCCTAACACCTTAGAGCAACATTTTCCCACATGACAACATAAGTATGCTACAGTATAGTATTAAATGGCTGAAACAGCAGCTAAGGATTTTTGCTTTTCAGGATGCCTTTACACCTTACAATTCAACCACAAAGGTTGCACAGAGAACATTTCCTACCTGTTCAGTTACAAAAGGCTCCAATGTAGAAGGCTATAAAATGGGCATTTTCGGGTTCAAATTCACAGTTACTGGTTGTAAAACAATGATAAGCATTTCATCTTTCTTACATTATAGTAACATTATAGTATATTGAAAAGTTGTCTTACTTTAAGGTGAGACATAAGCTTTTTATCTAAAGTCTGCTCCAAAAATTTTGGACTGACAAGATGGAGTGATCCTAGCAACCGTGCAGCCTCTCTGCGCACATTCATGGACAAGTCATTCACCATGTGACAGATTTTGATAAAAGCATCATCTATGAGCCGGGCCTCATCTGATGAGGGCAACTTGACAATTCTGTGAGGAAGTAATGAGAAATTTAACCCAACAGTAACATCCTAACATCCGTAATTATCTGTTCTGGGTTCTGCTTTAGAATATATATTTGTGCTTAGTAAAGCCTAGCTTACAAGACAGCTTTATCATCAACTGGGTTAAGGGTTGATACAGGTAGGTAGGTAGGACCTCACATGCACAGATTGAATCTGCATTAATAATGTAGAAAATAAGTATTGTAGATAGATGGATAGATAGATAGACAGATAAATAGACAGACAGACAGACAGACAGATAGATAGATAGACAGATAGATAGATAGATAGACAGATAGATAGACAGACAGACAGACAGACAGATAGATAGACAGATAGATAGACAGACAGACAGATAGATAGACAGACAGACAGACAGACAGACAGATAGATAGATAGATAGATAGATAGATAGATAGATAGATAGATAGATAGATAGATAGATAGATAGATAGATAGATAGATAGATAGATAGATAGATAGATAGATAGATAGATAAATAGATAGATAGATAGAAAACTTTGTTAATATGTCAGAGCTGTATAGCTTGGGAAAAACCCCATACTAATCTGGGAACACAATTTATATTTATTGGAATTACATATACAATATAAAAGTATGAATATTAAAACTATGCATAATGTATTAAAATGAATCCAATGAGAATCTAAAATGAGTATGAGTTAATATTTGCCATAAGACTGAGGAGAATTGTAAAATAAAAGATTATGATGAGCAGAGAAAGCTGCCATTACATCCATCATCTATCACTGAGCTTACATCCCCATATATGGGCTATATAGGTATGTGCCGCTGTGAAGGGTATGGTTTTCAAGACTAGGAATTGTGGTATAAGGTTTTGTTTTGGCTAGACTGTGCTAATGACCTCAGTAGTTTCTGGAAAACATCTACTCTAGGATAGGAGGGATTTGGGGAGTTTACTGTAGTATAGGGTAGCAAAATTCAGCTGAACTAGCTTTGTTCAACTTGATTTGGTTCAGCTGTCAGCTTTGTTTCATAACCAGTCTCCTCCACTAACTATGGTCACACAGTGTACTTTGGTCCGAGTTAGCAAGGAAAGAAAAGCAGTCGATTTTCTGATCTATTGCACCATCTAATGATTTCTCTTTATGAGTGGACGAGACATGGGGAACAAAGACATTTTTAAAATCAACCCCTCAGGTAGCAAGCAACACACCATAACGCACAACATATTCCAGAAGGACTAGTGTGTAAAATCACCTTCATGAATATATTACTGAGATTACCAACGAGATCAAGGTCTTTCGTTGGCAGATGCATTATGCATTATACAGTTCTGTTGGCAGATACGTATACATGTAATACATTAACCAAACATGATCAATACACTCTAACACTGAGTTTAGGGGGCCTATGGCATTCGACTAACTGTATGCCATATATCAGAATCTTGATTGCAAGGCTACATTATTTTTATTTCAAGCAGTCATCTCCTGTTCAGTGCGACAAGTACTAAATTAAAACTAACCTTCGTAGTTACTAAAACATGGAACCACCTAAAACCACCTAAAACCATCTACAGCCACCTAAAACCACCTACAACCACCTCAAAAAAACCAACAACCACCTACAACCATCTACAACCACCTCAAAAACATCTACAACCACTCGCAAACAATCTAAAACCGTCTAAAACAGGGTATAAATGTCTGAAATAGTTTCACACAAATGTACGTAGTCCCGCAGAATCCTTTAGTCTAGTGTGAACGTGTCTCACTTGCAGAGCCTGATTTTATACAGCTATTAACCCGTTTACAGTTGCAAGAATTAGAAAACATTATATAATGATATTTGATAATTCTTTTCAGCAAAATGAATCAAAACGTTCTTACCAGTAACGTCCCTTGGCGGGGAGGGAAGACCCGAATATGTGATCAATATTTTTCGTTCCGTTTTAGCTCGTAAAGTTCCAGTTACTCTAGCCTGTGCCAGGCTCTCAGATAGTATATAGTGGGGACGTATTTGCAACGAGCAAAGCGAAATTAAGAAGCGCGCATATCCCATCACTCCCAAGAAGAGGGCCGGGGTGAAAGTTGGGTTCCAAATCATAATAAAGGTATATAAAAATCCAGGTAAATTACTTTAAATAGTTCACTATTAAAATTTTTCAACCCATTTTTATTAATTTCGGCTCGTCTTAACTTGTTTTCTTCTGAACGCATTGCATTATAGATTTTTTAAAATAACATTTTTAACAATGATTACACCTACTAGTCTCCGTTTCCTGTATCGTGACGCAAGGGAGTTTAGCCTTGCGTGATGACACAGGAAACGGGTGTGAAAGACGCTAGGGTTCATCTAAAGGTGTCACCTGGAATGTACAAACATGTTTGGCGGATGAGATGCTAAAAAAATTAACTTGTTCTTAGGAATGTAATCCGCCACCTCAGAACAAAACAGCAGTGAAGCAGACTCCGAGAGAGAGAGAAACCCTACCTTGTGCCATTGCGTAAACAAATGAAACGTGAACCAAAACGTCTCACTGGTACCCAGGGTAGAAAAAGCCAAATCAAGTCAGTCTTTCGACTACGAGTTTGTTATTTTCTTTTATTATTTTTTGTGACTCGATGGTTCATTTTGTAAAGTTCTTTAAGTCTTTTAATATACTTACCATGATCTCGCATTTCATTTCGTGACTTAAGCCAATGGTTGATGATACAAGGGACCAGGGAGAGTAAGATTTTAGGGGGAAGTGGATGTTTTGTTCGATTCTCGTATTTCATGTTCGTGACATGTTGTCGTCTCGCCTTATTTCAGACATTTATACCCTGTTTTAGACGGTTTTAGATTGTTTGCGAGTGGTTGTAGATGTTTTTGAGGTGGTTGTAGATGGTTGTAGGTGGTTGTTGATTTTTTTGAGGTGGTTGTAGGTGGTTTTAGTGGTTGTAGATGGTTTTAGGTGGTTTTAGGTGGTTTTAGGTCGTTCCTAGACTGCAAAACAGTCCGTATTTTTGCGTATTCAAGTACGCGCGAGCAGTCAAACAAAAGGTGTGGAACGAGGCTGAAAACAGAGAGCGAGACTGGGGAGAGACGCTAAAAAGTACGTTTTTTCTCTCTCGCCTCACGCGCCCTACGGGCGTGTGAGGCTCGCGCGGTTCGCGCGCATAAGAGTCTTACGCCACGCGTTACCTATTTCTTTACAGATTTTGAGGAAAAAACCGACTGTTTTGCAGTCTAGGTCGTTCCATGTTTTAGTAACTACGAACTCACCTTTCAGGATCTGCTTGACTAAAAACCCAAATCAGCTTAATGGCCACCAATCGGACCGCTTCATAGTCATCATCCATTGCTAGTGAGGCTTGATCATACACTGCTATGCCTAAGGTATGACCTCTCTCATGTAGCGTAAGCTAGAACAAAACAAATGCTGTTGAAATGTAGTCAAAGATTACAACAACTTTCCTGTGTAAATCATTTTTTCCCTCAACACATAATCTTCAAGTGCTTAACCTTTTAGCCAAGGCCAAATGGTTAAGACAAAGGGTGATAGTTTCAACGAAAATGACGATTTTGCCACGAAATGTTGCCTATTATCACCATTCTCAATTATCAAGTGCCTTAAACATGTTCAAATTAAATTTTGTCATTATGGCTACTGTAATAATTTATTTTTCAAATTAAATTTTGTCATTATGGCTACTGTAATAATTTATTTTTCTGTTTGAATGCATTCAGAATAGCAGATGATAGCTTGTTGTTTAGTAGTTGTTTCTAATCTGCCCTTCACGAGCTTACTTAAACTTGGAAAACATTAAAAACTCAGTTGCATTGTTCCTAAGATGAAAACAAAACAATGGTAGCGATCAACAACAGTTGAAACTTCCTTGATCAGTAATTATCGTCTTCCAAGAAGGTTTAACTTCTACTTAGTAGTATGATTATTCAATGATAGTAATAATAGAAATAATAATAATAATAATAATAATAATAATAATAATAATAATAATTTCTTACATGTAAGCATTGCACATTTGTCAATATCAAAATTTTCAATCGTGCATTACAATGATAAAAAGCTAAAAAAGATGAAATTTAAAATTTACAAGAATTAAATAAATAGATACGTAAAATATATAATATAGAAATAAAACGTATATTTAAAAAGCTTTTGCAAATACAAAAGATTGTGATAGCTTTCTTGAAACTTTGCACAGATGTGATGTTCCTTATTCCACTCTGAAGATTTTTCCCTGGTTTAGGGGTGGCCACATGAAAACAACAATCTGCGAGCGTGGTGAGGGATCTACATGAACTATAATTAAGGTGTAAACTATTGTTGGAATGTAGGTTAGCGTATTTATTCGATTAACCGCCCTGGGAGCTTGTTAAATTTTTGGACCTTGAGAGTGGGCACTTATTCGAGGTGGGCGCTTATTCGAGGCTGGGCGCTTATTAAATTTTTACCATTTTCAGCAAGCGTAGTATGTTTATTTTCCAACAAAACAATAAATGCTAATAACAAAACGCGAAGAAGTAACAAAGCAAGGTTTCTGTGTAAGACTCTCAAGAAAACTTTGTCCTCGGGGAAGTCTCTTATTAGCATTTATTCACTCAAGTGGGTGAGGTAGGGGTGAGGGCTTATTTGAGTTTGATTGGGAGGAGGAGGGGGTGGGTGCTTATTTGAGGTTGGGCGCTTATTTGAATAAATACGGTATGTCTTCCAGTAGTGTCTCTAACAGAAATAAGTTGACTTATGTAGACTGAGGCAACATCATGTATTGCTTTAATGAAAACCTATATACAGTCAACTCCCTCTAAGACGGACATCTTTGGGACCGACAGTAAGTGTCCATCCATAGAGAGATGTCCGTCTTATAAAGAGTCAAATAAAGGGAGTAACGAAAGGCAGGGACCAACTCTAGGTGTCCGTTTTAGGGAGGTGTCCGTCTTATAGAGGTGTCCGTTAAGAGAGAGTCAACTGTAATATAATATTACTGGCAGCCAGTGCAGTGACCAGAGCAGCGGTATGATACTTACCAAAGCCTGTAAGGCACTTGTGCGCACTCGAGGGTCACTGTCATCTGAGAAGCTGGCTAGCAAACCCTGCACCCCTCGCTTTGAGCTTTGCGCTGCCCAAGATGGAGAACTCTCTTGTTCCTGAGTCACATGTCCAATCAGTGAAAGACACTGACAGCGTACCAAGGTGTGGGGATCTTTAAGGTGCTTTTAAGGAAAAAAAGAACAATGTAAGTTTTAAAATGTGTATGTCAGTGTGCAAAACAAAAGCATAGACTACAATATTGTTACATAAATACCTGGGTAGCTATCTTTTCAATTTGGTGGACAATCTTTACCTAGGGTGAGAATGACAATGCATAAACTTCTGTTAGTCTGTATATATAACACTGGGTCTCTACAGAATTATTAAAATAAAACATTTCTTTTACCGGATTTGTTTTAATGAAGCAAATCAAATTTACACAACTGGCTTTCCAGAGAATGCACTTTAGCAACGAATAAGTCACATTACCATGGTAACAAAATTTCTGGATCACAACAATAGGGAGCTTGAGCAAAGAGGAAGGTGACAGCAATCAGAGCAGGAAAAAAAGCAATAGGTATATATTTTTAGCAAAACAACAACAGCATTTCTTTTAACTCTTGTACATTTCTTAGCCATCGTTCATGAATGCGACATAAAACTTTCTAATTTGACGCGCCTGCTTTATGGAGTATGTGAACACAGTACAAAGATTTTCTATTTCTTTTTCTAAACTTACGTGTACAGCTGTATATACGATCCTTTCAGATTCAACTGCAGAAAATTTTGCGAAAATTTTACGAATTTTACGAAGCTTGATACTGCTTTTATGCAAGAGCTTCCAATGCAAATAACATTTACCATTGGCGACAAGCTTAAAACGACTTGACCTGGGAAACATCTAGCCCCTATACAGCTACTCGCGTATCCAGCTGATGAATCAATTTGCATTGTGTCCCATTTGAAACAGTATATAGAGTGTAGTACGAAGCCACTACCACTACCCTAACCCTAACTCGAGCTTACCTTCCATGATTTGCCACAAAAAGTGATTTATTATATTTTAAATTGCAGCATTAAAATAAGTTAGAGATGATTACATTTATCGCGATACCATAACTACGACATAAATCTGCACTGACTTGTCTTTATATCAGCACGTCATGCCTCTGTGGAGCTGAACGTGGTTCTGCCGAGCGCTAAACGCACTAAAAAGTGTTGTGAAGTATTTTGTAGGTTATTTTTGAGGATGGATATTTACCAAGCCAGGACTCGACGCAGAACTCAAGGCTGCTGCCTAAGAAAAATTTTAGGGAGCCCTTCGGGCTCCTAAAGTTTAAAGTTAGGAGCCCGAGCCACATTGTTAGGAGCCCAGTTTGAAATCCATGTATTGTTTTTCCAAGATCATTACATAGGTTATAGAGGTTCTTGCACACTTTAATAAGAATTCGCCGGGCCTAATAAATAACACGTAAACAAGAATTAACCGAATTATTTACTTTCATTTATTAATTTATTCAATTAACTTCCACATCTGTTGTGTTCAATGTGACCTAGAAGAGCCTTCAAAGAATTTTCTAAAATGTAACAATTAAACTGCTTCTTACCTTTCTTATACACATTCATGAGCCGGAAAAATATTTGAGGGGCTTAATTTGCGTGTAAAAGGAATTTTCACAATTTTCACAATAAAAGAATAACATAACAGTAGGTAATTTCAACTCAGAATTATTTACTTGACTTTCACATTTGTTCAGTAACAGTTGTGTTCCACATGACAACTTAACTAGTCTTCCAAAAACTTTCTAAAGTAGACCAATCCTCTCCTTGCTTTTTTTTTATACATGAACAGGAAAAACAGAACAGAACATCAAGTGCCTTATGTAAACCTTAGCCTGGATGGATCTCATTAAATGAAGTGCTAAACATTTGAGGAATCATTTAAATTGAATAACATTTTCCTATCTGATTCTGTGCTATAAAAGAATTTTATGTCAATGTAACTACATTGTAAATTCAAAAGATCATTTTTTTAAGTCTTATAAGTTCTCCAAAACAGCTCGGAGTTGTCCAAAACAGCTCCATTTTAGAAGAGCTTAATTAGCCCCTCAAATAGTACTGTATTTTACTCAAGGAAAAACTCCCAATTTTGGGTCCAAAACAGATCCTTTGAATTCACAGTGTAGTTTACAATTAAATCACAGCATTGAGCAATGTTCATCAGTCTTTTGGTTTTGTCCCCTTAAGAGAACTCCAGGTTCTAGCCTCTGGATGTTTGTCCACCCAGTTCTCTCGTCGGGCTCTGACACTGTTTTCTCGCCAATGCTTGACTGCATTGGCAAGGTGCCCAGATTGAGCGAAGGCCTTGACTCTCTCTGATTTGTTCAGGCTGTGGTACTTAACTGAGATACGCAAGTTGTTGTCCAGTGTCCTAGTTGCAAGACTTGAACGCTGAATAGTTTTAGTGCGGTTCATGGAGCTGAAACCTCGCTCACAAGCTGCGGTGGACAAAGGCCAGGTGAACACAATCTCGGCAATCAAAAGGAAGTTAGGAAATTCTTCTTGTTTAGAAAACAACACAGAGTAAATGTCAGGTGTTGTCTTGTGCTTCATTAGACTCACAAGGCTCTTAACTCCCTGCCACTCACTACTGACAGACTCAGCTTTAAAACCAGCTTTTTGCAACTGCTCTTGGTACCTGTTAGCGATTACACAGAGCTGATCACAACCATAAGACGCTAACTCTTCAGGATCTGTAGGCCACGTGTCTGGATCTAAAACTGAAGAAGCCTTTACAACTGGGTCGTTAAAGAGGTAATGGAATCGCTCCCCCATGCTCTGTCCAATTTCATCCAAAACAGACTTTCTGATCTTCTCAAATTGTTCAATATCATTGTCTTCCCTTTTGATCTCAATTTCTCTGAACACACTGCCATCCCCTGCTTCTTTCAAAAACGCCTCAAGTCTTGGACCATTTAACGACTTCATATTAAGACACTGTAATTCAAATTTTCGAACTGCTGCCGCTGCGGTTGTAACTGTAAGAAACTCAGCTTGAAAAACCTTACTTAAATGAGCTGCTTCCTCCGCAATGTCCCACAGAAAACTGGTAAAGAGCAACCCTCTGAATGAGGTTAAGAACTTGACCGAAAATGATGCTCGCCCCTGTCTACCACTTGATCCTACACGCATCTCTCTTGTGTTCTGGCAATGCATCATGAGAGTTTTATATCCCCGAAACAGTACCTGGAGTGCGGTTTGAAGATGTGGCAACCATCTAGCTCCAAACACATTAGTAGGCTTAGAGATCTGGTTATCTAGTGCTTCAGCTAACTCTCTTAATTCCCTGAGGGCCTTGGCGCTGTAGTGATATTCCTGGTATAAACTGCGAAGGACATCACGTACTTTCACAAAATCTGGGTATTTTTCTAGGCACTTGACAACTGCCAATTCAAGCTTGTGTGCTCCGCACCAGAATCCCATAAATTCTCTATTTTCTTGCCTCAATAAACCAACCACTCCGTTCTTCTCACCTGTCATTGCCGCACAGCCATCAGTTCCCAGGCCTGTAATTTTCTCCTTCCAGGTGACTGAATTCATGTTGGTTACTCTTTGGAAACAGGAATCAACCGCATCTAAATAACCTCTTCCAGTTCCAGCCTTAGGTTCTTCGATTCCAAGATATGCAGTGACCGGTCTTCCAACTGACTTTTCCAAGTAGCGCACATACATAATGGCTTCCTCAATGACACCATGATCTGTACTTCCATCAATCATTAGGGAGAAAAAGTTACATTCCTTCAATTTGTCTGCGAGATCCTCCTTCATAACAGAGCTTATGTGCTCAATGAATTCAGTACATGCAGATCGTGTTAAGTAAGTTTCACCCAGCTCCACCCCATTTAACTTTTGAAGCGCACAGAGACTTTCATAGTCATCTAATGGCCGTTCTAATGCTGAAATGTAGAAGGCTGTTTTAAATTTCTTCTCCATTTTTTCGTCTTCTTTTTCGTATAACTGCTTACAGCACTTGTACATTTCAGTTTTTTTCGGATCATTTATGGCTTTGTCCGCAACAATACATTTTTTATGGTTCTGGCTTGTTTCATGTTTTTTTAATGTTTCGTTTTTGAAGTTGCTTGACCCACTTCTCTTAGCTATTTCACTGTCCTTTGATGCTAAAGAAGGGTGCTTCGAGCAAACACCACAGTACATTGATTTCACTGCTGTTCCAACAGGTTGTGAATTTGGGTAGGATGTGTTAGTAATGAATGGCTGCATTGTGCCTTTTCTTACAAGGTTTATACGCAACCAAGAATGGGCTTGAAGCCACTTCCACTGAAATGACCTTGTCCGTTTTTGTTCATATTCCTTACGTTTGTCCATAGCATTAGCGTGATTTTCCCTTGTCCTATCCGATTCATCCTTTCCATCTTCTTCTATCTTCCTATTCACCTCAATCTTCCTTTTATCATCCATCGTCGTTGCACTCTTTACCTTTCTTTCACCCTCCATGTTCTTTTCTGCAGCCATTTTTCTTGCATCCATCTTCCCCTGATCATCCTTCATTTTCCTCTCATCCTCCATTTTTTTTCTCTCATCTTCCATATCTGTTTCGTCCTGCATCTTAAATTCATCTGTCATCTTCGTTTCATCCTGCATCTTCAATTCCTTTTCCATCTTCATGTCATCCTGAATCTTTAATTCTTCCTCCACCAGCATTTTTTCCTTCATCTTTATTTTGTCCTCTGTCTTTTTTCTGTCTTCCCATCATCCCCCATTTTCATTCTTTTATTGTTTATGCCTGCTTCATTTCTCTTTTTCTTTTTACATTCTGTTGGAAACCAAAAGTCTTCCAAACTAAACGACCTTTTCGGGGGGGATGCTTTTTTAGTGGACTGGTCAGCAACTTTGCGGTAGTCTTTAGCAGTTTTGACTGCATGATCGGCATATTCCTTTTTAAAAGGGGGACAAAGTGGTTAGGAACATAAATAGCATTTGGGCGGCTGTCTAATCCACCATCCCTTGACCACAGAATATGAAAGCAATCATTATTGGAAAACACGTCTGGCCTGTTAATACGTGGTTTCACTAAGCCATGTAAGAGGGGGCGAATAGCTTCTGCACAACTTGGATAGATTGTAAAGACAGGCCTGGAAATCACTGTGGAAAGTGCCATGATGTGCATCAGCGACGACCATTCACCTAGCTGACATCCCCCAATTGCCTCACTCTGGATAGCAGACTCACGGTTGCCACTGTGCTCCCACTCTGCTATTCCATTTTCTTTCAGTGCGAGCGTGAAAACGGTGACTTCTCCAAAGGGACACCCACATTGAAGAGCTTCCCGGAATCGCGGATGGTTTCCATAGTAGGCAGTATTTTCAAACAGCTCAATGGCTGTCAGAATACGAAGACAAGTAGAGTATTCTGTTGTACCCACAAGGGCCAGAGAAATGGCGTGGTACAGGCAATTTCCATCCCCAGCGACTTCATGAGCAATAAGGCCAGTTGGTGCATCACACGGAATAAGGGACTGTGCCAGTTGGTCTTGTTTTAGCTTATCAGATCTCGGGAAGGACTGGTTAAGGTTTAATTTTCGCGAATATTTGTCCCTTAACTTGCAACACAAATCTTGGTTATTGCTAATCAGGGCTTCTTTCAAAGTTTTTAAGTCAGCAACCTGAAATATAAAGAAAACCGGCCCACTCTGTGAACTGTTCAAAACTTGTTATATTTTATTGAGGACCTTGGCCTCAATGAGGCTAGACCAGTTATACACAGTGTAGCGTTACTATAAAGATATCAAGTGGCATTTCATTTTAAAATATCTTATATCTGTCACTAAAGGAATAAAGATTCCCGCGGCCAAACCCCGAAAGATTTTGTATTTGTAAGCGAATAAAAATATAGCCCAATTACAAGTCAGTATCAGAAGAAAACAATTGATAACCGAAGTACCGTATTTATTCACTTATAAGACGCACCTTTGTTTACGAAAATTTGTGCTTGCTCGATAAAAATTTTCTCAAAACTCGGGGTGCGTCTTATAACCGAGTATTTTCCCGCAACAAAATTTAACTTTGCCAAATTTCCTTATAATTAATGTTCAACTAAGATGAGAATGAATAAACAAGACATTCATCGTTGCATGGTCATCTTGAAGGTAAATTCCTGGTTTGGTTATGGAAAAGAGAGATTCTCCATCTGAGCCGTCAGAACTGGTTACCTAGCACGTGATCAAAATCTGCCCCGATCAAATTTCCTTCCACGACAAAAATAGCCGTGTCACGAAAATGATATTTGTTACATTTCAAGCGCTACTGTCTTAAACTTTCTGCACTTTTCTGTGAGCATGTTCCAGAACCAAACTCAACATCAGTGTATCGAAGCTGTAGAAACTGTACGCGAAAAGAAGCCGTTTTTATTATAAGTGAAATATCAAGCTTACAGTATCTTTGATCTCAAAACAAACGCGGTTCAAATTTCATTAGTCAAAGAAAATTTGCATGAATTTGCGAGGCAATCACAGACAGCTACCTAGCTGATCTGCTATTTCGTTTAGAAGGTCAAGAATGTCAAGTTGTCACTACGGATTAAATAAAACCGCATTGAATATAGGTCAAATGAAGGCACAGCATCTTCGGTTGTGTTTTAAAAGCGGGAAATATATTTTATTGTTTTGAAAGAGACAGTTTCCAAATCGTTATCTATATTAATATAAATGTTCACATACGGAGTCGTAAGAAATAAACATTGCTTACCTGTTGCGAGAATTCCATTGTAGTCACTGGGCTTAAGACAAATTGCTGAAACCTTTGTCGATTTTAGCGAGAAAAGAAGAACCTTTGCCGATTTTAGCGGGAAAAGCAGAACCTTTGCCGATTTTAGCGGGAAAGGGCGCTAAGCACGTGCAGCAAGGCAGAAATACAACCAACACAAAGTTGATCATTACTTTAATTTCTTTATTCAAGGTAAAGACATCACATTACAAATATGAAATATCATACTGCGTTCTCTGGCGTGTTGTTTTTTAAAGTCTCTTGAAAATGCTGATACGTTGCAAACTGGTACATGAAATCGAACATCAAGCACGTCCAGTCGATAGCACGCAAGATAGCTTCCCATTCTCGCCACAAAAAAGTTATCAAATCGACGAAAACCCAAGCAAACGATGAACTGCACGAATGTCAACATAGGCAACAAACAGCCCATAATTTTGCTATTCCATATTTGGAAGTCAAATCTCAGACCCAGTCTTCAACTGCCATCCGGACTCGGAAACGATGGCTTCGTTCGTTTCGACAAAGCTTCACAGTTGAACACGTTAGGTTTACATAATTTACGGTTTATTTGTGGAAATTTTATACTGCCTAATCGCATCATCGCTAACCATATCAACAGTTCCACTGTTTAAAGTCCTACTCCAGCTAAAGGAATATAATGTACAAGGAGGTTAAGTCTAATGCCGTGTGTTAAGTCAGGCGCCCGCGCGGGCTCCTTGTACCGAAATTTGGTCGCCCATGCTCTTACCTTGGGCGCCTCTGGCGACCGGGCGCCCGTTAGGCAGCAGCCTTGGAACTGGACAATTTTTTGCTTTCCCACCATTTTCACCTCCTGCATTATAATCTCTTCGGCTCCGTAGCAGTCGGGGAGTTTAAATTTGGTAATCATTGATTCATTTATTTGCTGTTCACTGATTTCAATAGCGGTAAGTTGTTGTCTTGCGAGGGTGATTTATTTGGAAAGCCGTGTTATTTTGCTTTGATTTCGCTTTATCAGGTTAAAACAAAAGAATTATTAAAGAGTCTTTTTTGATACCTTGTGATACTCTGCGATGTCTTGTGATACTCTGTGATGTCTTATGATACCTTGTGATACCTTGTGATACCTTGTGATACTCTGTGATGTCTTGTGTGATACCTTGTGATGCTGTACTTGTGACGCTACGTGCTTTAAAGCCTTGTACTAATACGAAAATTCATGAACCAAATTTGTGACCTCGTATGATAAGTTTATGGTAGAACAGACCGGCATGATATTGAGGTGACGCCACTAAAAACTCATGCTAATAAGGTATAGTGATTGTGTGAGCATGTGATGTGATCACAAACTTTGTGTCCTTAATCAGTTATCCCCAAATTGTGCAGTGCATTGGAAAGTTGAATTTAGTGCAGGCCTGGTGCAGGCTATTTTCAGAACGAAAACATGGGCGGAGCCACTGTTAGTAATAAAGGAATAAAAACGACACAACCTAGTGGGTCTTTAACAGTTCAGGAGAGAGCTGTGATCCAACAAAAGTTACAAAAGTTACGTCTTAAAAGGTACAGTTTGTTTCTTAATTCTTAGTTGTGTCCTAAACATAGATTTGTTTACAAGTGAAATTTATGTCAATAGTGAACTTATAGTGAAGGAATGAAAAGGAAACAACCAAGTAGATCTTCATTAGTTCAGTTCCCAGTGTGAGACTGGGGCTGTGATCCAGTTGAAGTTTACTCTTAATTCTTATTATTGTGCCCTAAACATAAATTTGTTTACAACCGAAATTAACTATCAGTTACTAGAAAGTAGTCTATTTAGCATCCATTTTGAAGCTCATGACCCCAATACTTTTTTCCTCTCTTGTGACAAAATTTTGTTTGTAAGGAGATATTTCCTTTTTTTTTAACCAGGTTACGCTGTTCTCTAAACTACAAGCAATGGCTGCCAAGTTTTACATTTGCATGCTGCTGGTAACCCTGGTGAGCTCAGCTGTGTACAGTGCATGGCTGCGTCGCCCACAGGACAAAGAGACGACCTCCAACTTTCTCTATCAGAGAATTTTTCAAGGTAACTTTCGAAGCTTTTAAAGCCCACGCGATTAAAAGTTATTTGTTATAGGCAACGAATTTGTGATATTTTTTGATATTGTGATACTTTGAGATGCGCATGAACTGAATTTTTGCTTTCATCTTGCAAATGCCAGGCGTCAGTACTTGGGATAGGAATCCAATGCCGGACTGAGAGTAACCGCTTCTCGTTTGTTGTACATTGTGAGATAAAAATATTTTATCAGGTAATGACTTTTTTCGCACCTGTTTACAGATACATATCGAGCAATGTGCTGCCAAATTTCATGCAATCATTGTCCAACCATGGGTTATCATCCCTGCCCGAGCCCAGCGGTTTGCCATCAATTTGGCGGAGGCTGCATGATTGGAAATATGTGTTGCTGCATTTCCTGACCTCGGTAAGATTAATCAAGCAAAGTGAATGTCCTCAAATATGTTACAATATGATTCTGATTCTATCGCTTATTTTTTCATAGTCTTTACACCTTGTAATTAAGTGGATCGTTTTCACTGTTACGCAATAAATCCGACATGAAAAAATAAATCCCAAACTTTTCAAACATAAAAGCCAAGTAAATGAAATGCTAAATGACTAGCGCATAAACAACTTTTGCAAGTCCCAGGTCTATGTGGCTCCCCTTTTCTTGTGGTTATTTGCCTAAACATTTCACGCCATTAGAAAGTAAACGATTTCAATTCCAAGTGGAAAGCCCAATACAAACATAAAATAACACAGTTTAATGCAGAGGGTGTGCTGCGTATTTTAAGTAAAGGCCATGAAAATGTTCTCAATTCTGCGTCTGTATCGCTCAGCTGAAGAACGTCTTATCCAGAAAAAGGAGGCGAGTCAGGGATATGAAAGACATTCAAAAGCCTGTTTGGTTTGAGATGGAGTACTTCACTAGCCTGTTCCAGGCTCTCAGATAGTGGGGAAGACGTGAAAGTGAAAGGCACGTGAAAAGTTGGCGAGGCGGGAAAAAGGAAAAAGGAAAGGATAGCCGCCCCCCTCCTCTCCCCAGTTTCCTCCCGTTTTTATTTTTGTGTTCACCACGCTTTCTCAATTCACCGGACCCGACTATCTCGGAGCCTGGGACAGGCTAGTACTTCACGAACTCTAGTTTTGACTTCGCCACAGTGTAAACATCATGCATAGTTCTTGATCATTGGCACGGAACGACAGTTATCAAAGGTGTCCGTTGACAAGATCAAGATCGGCCAAGCTGAGGTATCGCCTGCCTCTTCAGTGCGCAATTTGGGCACCTGGTTCGATTCTCATCTGGACATGTCGACTCACGTGACTAAGACTTGTGCTAGCGCGTTTTATTATTTGTACAATATCCGGCACATTAGGAAGCATCACAAGCAGGCTTGACTACTGTAATGGTTTATTGTACGGTGCTCCTGAGTATCAAATTAAGAAACTTCAAAGAGTCATGAATGCCAGTGCTCGATTGGTTTACTGCGCACCTAAGTATTGTCACGTTACTCCTTTGCTAAGAGAACTCCACTGGCTACCAGTGCGCTTGCACGTAGATTTTAAGATTGTCCTTGTTACATTTAAGATTCTTCACGGTGTTGCGCCTAGCTATCTTAAGGATCTTGTCTTTGTCTTACCGGACTCACGTTACCAACTACTCCGTAACAATAATGGTATATTATTAGAAAGACCTCGGCTAAGAACGAAGAAGACTTTGGGAGATCGCGCGTTATCGATGGCTGCCCCCTTTTTATGGAACAGTCTTCCTCTGCCAATAAGACAGGAAACATCAATCGACTCTTTTAAACGCTCTGTTAAAACAATTTATTTAAAAAGGCTTTTAGTTAGATTATTTATTTATTTATTTATTTTTAAATATTGTAATTTTACCGGGTAATTTTACTGGTTTTTAATTTAGTTATTAATAATATTGTAATGTGCTTTTGAGTATTTTTATAGAAAAAGCGCAATATAAGTATTAAATATTATTATTATTATTATTATTATAACAACATGTTTTGCGTTTTTGTTCTTATTTTTATGCATGACAGTAATTTGGTAATTAGCACCTGCATTGTAGCCAGTACAGATATAAAAAGTTTACTAATCTAAGATTTTCTTTTCTTAGTGATGGGTGATCCTGCCATTGGTGGATGTCACATGCACTGTAACCTTAAAACAGGACTACTGTGATGGACTTGAGCTGCTAAAATAAATTCTTAACTAATCGGGTGAATTATGCCCTATTCATAATAGGCCCTTTGCATGACCATGATAACATGATCAACTTTCACTAAACAAGAAAACGGTTCAATTTTGAAAAATTTTGTTAGCACAAGCTGAAAGAGCATACTAAAATTAGGTAACCTGAGAATTTTTCGCCGTATATCTTAAAAGTAGCGATTGATTAGAATCATTTGTATTAGAAAAACAACTTTTGCCACCCAGTAACGCTTGCATGGTTTTCCATATAAATCCTGGGAAATTTCGAAATTTTCAAAACTGTTATGAAATACTTTCTTAAGCATTACGGGGCTCAAATCTCCTTTTAATTCATGACAGGCAATTTGGGCCCTTAACGACATTCCCCACCCCACTAATGGCCCTTCGCATTTCGATTATATTGTGGAGACCGAACATAGATTTGATCTGAAAACAACTAAACCTTCAAACGTTTTTACTTTATTGTCCAAATGATACGAATCAAAAGTGACAGGCCTTGACAAGATCTCCGCTAGACTTCTTTGTGAGTGTGCTGACCTTATTGCCTCTTGTGTTTGCTGTATTTTCAATCATTCTTACAACAGGTATTTTTCCTGAAGAATGGAAGTGTTCTAAAGTCACTCCACTCTTTAAGCAAGAAAAATACTAAGACTTAGATAACTACCATCCGATCTCTATAATTCCTGTTGTGGCAAAAGTCTTTGAGAGAATCGTTTATGATCAGTTCTGTATCTACTTAACTGCACATAATTTAATTTCCAGTAAACAGTCAGGGTTTTGATCACTTCACTCAACTGTCACTGCCCTGTTAGAAGCTGTTGACAGCTGTACATGTTCTTTTAACATTGATAAAGGCAATGTTAATGGAGTCGTTTTTCTTGACTTAAAGAGGGCTTTCGACATGATCAACCATTCCATCCTTTTATCTAAATTATATAGCTATGGTGTTAGAAATTCTTCTTACAGCTGGTTTAAATCCTATCTGAATCTTTGTAAACAAAAATGTACTGTGAACGGCTCCCTCTCTGGTGATCAATATCTAACTTGTGGTATCCCACAAGGCACCATCCTCGGTCCTCTTCTCTTTATACTCTACATAAACGATCTGCCGAACTGTCTCACAAATGTTCGATACAGGATGTATGCAGACGATAGACACTTGACTTTTGCCAGTATTAATGAGGCACATCTAGAGCGTGCTCTTAATGAGGATGTAGCCAAAGTTAATGAGTGGCTTATTGCTTATAATCTAACTCTTAATAAGTCTAAAACGGAATTTATGTTAATCAGGTCTAGGCATTGAAGGTTGCAGACTTTCAATACCCCAATTTTGTAGTAGTTCACTTAGCCTGACGAATTTTTAACTGTGGATAAATGAAGTTATTGTTGTTGTTGTTGTATTAGCAAAACAACAAATGCATCACGTTCATCATTCTCTTTTGTACATTTTTTAGCCATCGTTGCATGACTGTGGCATGAAACTTTCTAATATTTCCCGCACCTGCTTTATGGAGTAGGTGAACACATCACAGAGATTTTCTTTTTGTTTTTCTAAACTTATACACAGTCCTCTCAGATTCAACCCCAGAAAATTTTGCCAGCATTTGAAAAATTAAATCAAATTGAACAAGATCAATGAAGTTTGAAACAATGCAAATTCACTTTATAAGTGAAGTTTTTGGTTTGTTGTCATTCAAAAAATTTTGCCACCACGGCAATGTGACATAACAACTTTTCCTCTCTATTGTACCATGACTGAAGGATAAACAAAGGTAAAGAAGAATAGTACAGTTGTACCACAAATATCGTTTTAATCCTTTAAGTCCCAATAGTGACCAACAGCAATTTTCTCCTAACGATATCCATACATTGTCATGAGATGGGGTTATGAGACTTAATTAAATGATCACAATTCTCTCAACTCATTCTTTAAGGAAATGTATAGAGATCAGTTTGGAGAATTTGTATGTGGATATTAAAACTTAAAGGTTTAAAAAGGAAATAATGTAAATACACGGTATATCAACCCACCTCCTTGATACAGAGCTTGCCCAGAAGCAAAAGACTTTGGAATACCTGAGCATGAACTTTGTGGGACTCTGAAAAAAAGAATCATTTCTACATATAACTCACCAACAGATTTTAATTCTAGGTCCTTTTATTAATTGCTGCATGATCAAAATGCTATAGCTGCTTGGAAGACTTTATTTCACTATAATGGTTCAGTTAGTTGCGTGATGTTAGGTATCTATTGTGAAGTCCAGTTATTGACTTCAGATACAGCTATTTCGAGAAAGGTTGTCGGAAAAACGTGCACAGAACAATACGGAAAGGTAATATGGGATATGATTAATACACTGTTCCTTGAACCTGTTGTAGTTAATTTTTTTATCTCAGGTAATTTTTGTTTTTCTTTTGTTTTTGGGTATGACAATGTATGATAATGTATGCTAATGAAGTTGAAACAAAAGAAAAATAAAAATTACTGAGATAAAAAATTAACTACAACAAACCTACTTTTGTGGCTTTCCTTTGGCACTCATAAACATACGTCCATGGCCTCTTGTGCCACTCTTTCGAATTTCTTTTAAGAACAGTGAACTCAAAACCACCCACAAAACCTTTTGGGATTGTTGTGTGCACTTTTTCTGACAACCTTTCTTGAAATAGCTAAATAAATGCAGCAAATTGACTTGTCACAAAAGACACAAGATGATTAAAAACCATTGATGGCTGGGGCATGGGGAGATACAAGTGTACATTATCATCCATAAGGACCGATTAGGGTTAAATTCCAACAAGCCACATTGCCTTAAAACAGCAACAGATGACTAGATGAAATGGTGACAAAAGACATAAAGATGGGTTTAACCCTTTAAACCCTGAGATCAAAATATGAATTCTCATTTGTTGGCCCTATTCATTTCCTACAGAAGTTGTGGGGAGAAGTTGATTAAATTCAAGCAAATTCATGTAAGGTGATCATGTCCGTAATTCTCATGGCCACTCTGTTTTCCAAAGCATTGATATTACAAGGAGAAATTTGATGCTGATCACTCCTAGGGCTTAAAGGGTTAATAACATCAGGGACATGGCCTACTCTTCAAAATGCGAAATGCAGGGCTTGAAATTGCCACTGATACAGACGCCAATGCAACTAACATTTTCTCCTTGGCGACTAAAAATTCTGGTTTAGTCGCCATAGTGGTGACCAGATTTTTCTATATTTTAGATTTAAATTAAAAGAGCAAAGTTAACACAAACATTTCATATTATCTTGCTTTGCTTTCATCATAAAAATGTGCCAAATCGTATAAACAAAGCCAGTTTACCTCCAAATTTATACCGACTTCTATCCATGGTATTTTCAAGTCTGATGAATCACGCCATACTATGCAGGGCTTCTAACAGGTCATGGAAAAAGGTAAATTTCGCAGGATTTTTAGGGACAAATTTGCAGAAAAATCGGCCAATTTGGCGGGAATTCGTGAAAAGCAATCAGTAAAAACAGCCGATTTTGTGTTTTTTTTTCAGGAAAAATTCGCTAGAAATAGATCGGGTTTTGTGCTGATCAGACATAATATACGCCTGGTAGTTTTGGGACGTTGTTTGCATGTTTCACAAATTTGCTGAGAAAATTTCAAATATGTTGTACAGACATGTATTTGATAAGATTTCTACTGAATTTCACTGTATTTTGCGTGCTTTTGAGAATTTTGCAGATTTACCTGAATTTGACGGCTTTGCAACCGCGCGAAATATCACAAGCCATTAGCTGCATCATTTCCATCAAACAGACTGGCGACTTAAAATTTGCATCTGGCGACTACATTTCTCCAGTTGGTTGACCTGAAGATTTTTTTAATTCGAGCCCTGAAATGACTATTTGAAATTCAGACAAGGTATTAATGTACCCCATCCTATTTAAGAGAGCCTCATCTGTGGGCTATAACAGTATTTCCCACGCCCCTGTGAAGGGCAGTGTTTTCAAGCAGTTTAGACTGGGATAGAATATAGAGGGTTTTGATCTTGAATAAGGAAATTGATCAGCGGCATGATAATAATCATTGGTGTTTCTGGTTCATGGTTAGGCTGAGATTTGGTTGGCACTTTTGATGGTTAATAGGTAGACCAGAAAGGGGTAGCAAAGTTGCCGTTAAACATGATCCTTTACAGGTAACAGTGTCCAGGAACCCTGGCCCTGGTTGTTCAAAAGCTAGATAGTGCTATCCAGTGGATAAGTATTAGGGAAACCAATTGCGCTATCCAGTGGATAGAGATTTATCCGATGGATAGCGTTACCCACCTTTTGAACAACTGAGGCCAGCTGTACAACCCACCTAAAAAATCCTAAGAGGTAACCCTCTGGCTAGGGAAGTGAACTAACCTGAGAAAACAGCTGACATTTTGCGGCGCCACCACTGCTTTCCCCGCAAAATGACATCTGAGTAAATAGCACAGACATTCCATACTGATGACATGTCACTACTCAAAAGTGGGTAGTGCTTCTGATTGGTTGTGCCAAGTGGGAAATTTGCTTTAGCCGATCAGAAGCACTGCCCAGGTAAGTAGTGATGCGTCATCAGTATGAAACTTCTGCACTTGTTACTCAGACGTCAGTTTACGGGGAAACCAGTAATGGTGTCACAAAGTGTTGGCTGTTTTCTCAGGCTAAGAGTGAGGTAGAAGAAACATATGAAGGTGTGGTGTTGGGAGAGGGGAGGGGGGAGGGGGGCGGAGTGAAAGGTAAAAGACTCTAAGGTTAGGAACTGACTGATTGAGAGAGGTCATTGTCAAAAAAAAAAAAAAAAAAAAAAAAAAAAAACGACTGCCTGTGTACCTGTATTTCTGGCTTCACCTTTAGTATTCAAGAGACTAATAAGTTCTTCTACCATCGCGTGAACATTCACTCCAGGAAACGTTCCGACACTTTCCAGCAAAGAAATAACTTTGACTCTGACAACAACATCTTCCGTCTCGTAAAATCTCTCCCACAATGTTCGAATCACAAAGTCAGTGACTTCTAACGACTCTAACGGAAGTTCCTTTTCAAGATCAACAAGAGTTTGAAGGATTTCCTGTTGGGTTGAGAACTGAGAAAGCTCAAAAGCAAGTCTTTTCGAAGCATCAATCGCTTGCCTGCTTCTCTTGAGTTTTAAAACTGGTTGACTTTGGCTGCCATAATCCACAGTCTCTACAGTTTTTTCTTCTACAACAGACGTAGAATAGTCTGGACTACTTCTTTTCATGATTTTTGATTAGTACCCGCAATCTCTTCAAAAAGAAAAAGAAAATTTTGAAACAGAGCTAGCCGCCATGATGGATTTTCTATCGACCTCGGTTTGATGTTACCGCGGAAGGTTGGGAACTAGGCCATAATTTTTTCCCAGGACTTTGCTGTAAATACAAGATTCTGCATGTCAAATCTTGAAATTTCAAGATTCTGCGTGCCAAATCTTGAAATTTCAAAATTTGGTAACTTACCGGAAATTAAGTCACCGTGATAACTCATGGTAAATAACTCACCATATTAGGGGACCCGTAATTTACAAGTGTAGCCAGTGTTTTAGAAGATGAAAAAAAGCAACTCTGCAAATTACGCTTAAACAAGTCTTATTAAATTGACCTCGGGTTCTAATTTTGTTTCGCTTCTTAAATGAATTTCTGACGGGAAAGGCGACCACGTAAGAGAGAATGTATGGAAACTGCTGAACTTGGGTCTGATTTCATTTAACGTGATGGTGACCCTTTACAATTTACTTGGTTTTGCTGGTTTGACTTGTACTTGTACATTGCCACATGATGTGTAACGGTAGAAAGACCAGGGCCGTAGCCAGGAAGAAACTACAACCGAGGCGAACACACGGTCCGTTGTACGAAATCAGCCGTATGAAATCTTCTAATATTGTCAGTGTGATAAAAAAAAATAAAAATCGACAGTATTTGATAAAATTTTACCGAGGCGAGTGCCTCGGTTCGCCTCATACTGGCTACGGCGGTGAAGACACTTTAATTTATTTGAGTGTCAATGTATTCAGCCCAAAAGTACTCATTGAGGACACTACTTTTACGTCTCCAACTGGCTAAATTAGCCAATTGCTAAAAGAGCTAAAAGGAAAAATGAAAAGAGGAAAAAGTCAAATACGGGTCACTAATAAACCTCGGAAAGGTGCTTTCATTGCTGCATAGGCATTATTAGGGCTTAACAACAAATGCAAAGAAAACTCAAATGCTCAAATGTTTGTATGTAACTTCACTAAACAATACTGGTCAGGATTTCCAAGTTAAACATTCGATTGATGAGAAATGGGCAGGATCGAGCCAATTACTTGAAAACAACTATGATATAAAGAAAACTTGTAAAAGTAACTAGTCGAAGGAAAAAGAAAAAATGTTAACTATTCCGCCGGCGATCAGAGCAGTAACCCAGCAACTCTCAGCTTCCGCTATGATCAGATTTACGAAAAGCCGTTACTACTAGCATAGATCCTTTCATGGAGTGATACGTACAAAAAGTAATTTTATTAAAATATCTTATTGGCATGATGTCACTTAAGACATGGAATACGCCGGGGGTTCCGAGTTCGATTCCCACTTGTAACATCAATAATGGGCGGGTGAAGTTACGGATTGAGGTTTTCGTGAAAAGATTAGTGCCTCTTTCATAATGGCGGCCTATTGATATTTAGTAAAATCCCGCAACTAGTGGTCTATCATCAATGCCGCGTTCTGATTGGTTGAGCGACTACTAGGCTATATGTTATAGCCCAGACATAACTAATCGATGATCAATGACATCAATTGGTAATCAATGAGTAATCGATGAGTTATCAGTTGATTAGTCATTGATTATTGGCGATGATCAATGAGTAATCGATGAGTACTCGAAGCCCAAAAATTTTGTGGCCTATCGATTACTCATTGATGTAATTGATTACTCATCGATGACCCACCGATTACTCATTGACTATTATACTCCATTATACTGCGCACGAAAGACACTTTTCTTGCTTTCTTGTACCATTTTTTTCGTTTGTGATTCTTTGATCTGTGTCTGACGTATTTTCCTTGTATATGAAGATCCTGTTGACGATGTCGAGACGCAAAGTGCTAATCACAAATACAGATGATTCTCAATTGTGCAATATTTCACTTTACCCAATTCAACTCTTTATTTAATAACAAAACAAATGAACAGTAACCAACCAGTCTGAAAATGAAACTAACAAGTACGTTGACAAGAATCGACTACGTGGTTATCGATTTTTTTTGTGAGTGTTTGTCACCAAAGTAAACCTGCTTCGGCTTAGGGAAACATCCGTCACTGATAAGCAGTTACATAACCAGCTTGAGTATTGAATATTTGTACAAGTTCCGATTTTTTGGCCTTTGAGCTAAACGCGATTCCTTTATCTTTTAAGAGTTGTTTTAGAACCGCTATTGTCATGTTTTCGGCAGGTCCCTGTTTCATTCTTTTCTTTCTCGTGGGCTTCCTTCAATTTCTTTTGTTGTATCTCCAGTCTTTTCGCATTTGCAGAAAATGGCCCTTGAGGCCTTGTACAAAGACACGGAGTTATTGAAGAATTTGCAAAACTGAACAACTTTGACGGAGCAACCATCAAGGTATGGTTCAACAACAAACGGCAAAGAGATACTGGAGAACCTTCTGAACCTTAATTTCCATGTACTGCTTAAGCTGAAAAGAATAAACCGGGAAACATCTGTTTACATTTAAGTTTTTTAATTTTGTTTTTCTTCACCAAATACGTTTGCAGCCACGAGATGATATCGATGAGTAATGGATGAAATCAATGCAAAACAATGCAATCAATGACTAAACAATGCAATCAATGACTAATCGATGCAATAAATGAGTAATCGATGACCAAAAATTATGTGGCCTATCGATTAGTCATCGATTACTCATTGATCATCGGCAATAATCAATGACTAATCAACTGATTACCTATCGATTACCTATTGATTACTCATTGAAGTCATTGATGTCATTGATGTCATCGATTAGTTATGTCTGGTATAGCCCACTAATAGCGAAAAGCGCCGGCTTTGAAAACCAAAACAATGGCGGCTGAATCGTGTTTTGCTAGCTAAAGTTGTTTTGTCTCGATATTTTTGACGAACGAGTTGGATTTTACCAAAACAATTATTCCTCTCGCCCTCATGGCGTCTGACTCAATAGCCTATTCGGCCTTCGGCCTCATGGGCTCGAGGAATGATTGTTAAATATTCTTTTATTTGTTTCATAATTAACCTTTCTGACCTCGTTTGAAAGTAAGAATTATTTTGTATTTTTCAAATGTTAACCAGGTCAGAAAGGCTAATTATCATACCTATAAATTAAACAATATATTGATAGGCCGCCATTCTGAAGGAGGTCTTAGTCCACTGAAGTTGAAAATGGTGTTCGTGGTAAAGGTAAAAGTTTATTTTGCGTCGATAACTCATAACAGTGCCTGTCAAACCTGAGGTCGGCCTGGAGGTCGGCGGCGCGCTCATTTTCTAAACAGTGTCATGATTGAGTTTCCGGCCATTATTGGGGGTATATGACATGGCGCTTTAAAAAAATGCAGGGGTCGAGCACGAAAGAGTTGTAAAACTTGCTGTTTTTTAAATTTATTGGAAAGAATCAAACAGGAAGTTATTAGGCATCCTTTGTTCACAGCTACAACAGATAACTCTCGTCCCAAGAGAAATTGAAGACCAAATTCTTATACAAGAACTTTTCTCTTGATTTTAATAAACAATGCAAATTCTCCTCCCGGGGATCAATATCGTTCGTAGAAAAACGGTCTGAAAAATATGATGAACACTGTGGAAAGTACGTTGAGTAAGAAAAGAGGCAAAAACACGACTAATCCTTGGTTTTCCGAGCTTTGTGAACGACAACGCTTCCAAATAAACAAGACAGACCTAAAAGCACTCGTTTGAATTTTCACTAATTTTTAACGCTTATTTTCAAATCGGCATATACGGAAAATTGCATGAGCTTAGCCTGCGTGGAAGGCTACGCAGGCTATACGAGCTTGGCATGACTGATCAACATGCCGCAACAGCGGACAGGTAATTTTTCGCGGCATTGCGTTGTGTAATTATAGTGAGGTGTTCAAAGTGATTTTCCTGTTTGTTTCAACTCAGTACCGAAAGTGAAGTGTGTAACACATGGCAGTTAGTCAGGGGAAATTATGCAAAAACTGCGCTTTATCTAATGGTAAAAATCATCTTTCTTTCTCTCTTTTCGAATAAAGCTGCGTCATTTCCTTTGCCGGTAATTAAACGGATGATCGGCAGTAAAAGAGTTTTCATCCACACCCTCCTCAAAGCCTTCTCTGGTATTTACTTCCTGTGATTTGCGAAAGAGAGCAATAAATTATTGTTTGCGTTAAGCCAGTTTTAATCACTGAAAAAAGTACTGGAGAAGTAAGGCTAAGAGCTGTCGACAAGCATTTTGCTATTTTTTGATGTCCAGCAATTAAAACAGGTTAAAGTGGTCCTAATCTGCAGAAGCTGTACATAGCCAAGTAATTTTTTTTAATGTTAATATTCAATATATGGTTGTCGTTCCTTTCTCTCTTACTTAACTTTTATTTTACTTTCTTTCATTTGTTATTATATTGATTGCTTTGGTACTGAAATCTTCATGTCTAAGATAAAGTCAGTGAAGTTGTTGTTGTTGTTTACAAACTAAGATAATTGACCGTTCATGCATCGCAACCCCTCAAATCAATAAAAACGTATACGGATATTGATACTTGCATGCGTGGGTTCACGCGACAGCTCCTTTTTGGGTGCAAAAGACTCCGCCTCATACGCTACGTTATAAAGCTCTGCCAATCGACTTAGCAGTTCATAAAATCCTGAGCCATGGCGAACTCACTTTGCCCTGTTTTGATGATAGCATTGCTCGTCTTTAGCTTCCGTGGGGCTCATTCTAACTGTGAATTTCAAGAATTCACGTCCGATAAATGTAGAAGCGCAGACCACATCATCGTTGAAGATCAGAGGGTGGAGAAGCAAAAAGAGAGTCAAACAGAGGCACAAACCAGCAAAAGAATCCAACTCCCTGACTTACAAACAAGTGTGCGATGGTTTTGTGGCGGCACAGCGGAGCGTGCAGCGTGGAGTAAACCAGCCAACCAGCTACGCGTGTTTTACCGAAGCGACGGTACAATTCAATGGAGTGTTTACAAGTGCACTGACCTCTCAGGTCCTAAGAAAGCTGGGGAGAACTGTGCTGTGCCGGAAACCACTGAATTCTGCCCCAAATTCGACGGAGCCAACTCTAGCGCCTGTGTGTTTGAGCTGAAGAAGTCGACGTCCCAGGTGAACTCGAAAACTACTACAGTATCAATTGAAGGCAAACTAAGGGGGGAGGTAGAGAAGCAAGCTGGTCCCTTGACCGCTAAGGGGTCAGCAGAGGTAACAGGCGGATTTTCTCAGTCATACACCAAGGCTAAAGTAGTCAGCTATGAAACCCGACGTTTCCTTGTCATTCCTCCAGGCTTCTCCTTCTGCGCTTTTACTAACAATACCAGTGTTTCTGATGTCCATTCCGCCACCGGCTTTCGTTGGAAGTGTTCCTTTCCTGAGTACATTCAATCACAAGAACAGTTCCACAATGGGCGCTGCACAAGTCTGGAAATCTGTGACGTCGGTGTGTGTGGACGGACCCAGGACGTTGGCAGCGGAGTCGATCCAGTACGAGTAGGGTTGGCTTTATTGATGGCCATGGCGTGTTTGACCGTAGTGTTTCCAGAATGAACTTTCAACGGTGAACTTTGCGACAATCCAGTGTTTTGTTGAGCCTATCTCCAAACCGAAAATATCACATTGAATGTTTTATCGGGTGTCACCTTAAAGGCTTATTTAGCTCTTTTTTACGAGTTATATCTTAATTCGCTTTAACTCACTTTAATTTTCTGTTAAAAAACACGATATGAATTCAAGTTTGTGCGCAGTAGATATTGTCTATATTGGCTTACAATTCTAAGTGAGTGTTGACAACTTGTGGCATGTTTGGACAGTTCTTGAATGTGTGTGTAGTCGCCCAGATATATAGGTTATTAAAGGAGCTTTGCAACTTTTTTTTATGCAACAAGGGAGTCATCTTCTTTGGCAGGCTGCTTTAAAGGAGCACTATCAAAGGAATTCTTTTTTTCAAATTGTTCCAATTGAGCGAACATTTTTCTCTAGTGGCAAGCGGCAAGTGCAACACCAACAGTGAATTAAAATGAAGGTAAACAAAAAAGATCATCAATTTCGCCGAGATACCTTTTCTTTGGACTTTTAACTGCAGGCGAAAGAAGCCTTGACGAAACATGTTTTGCAAAATATAAAAATGCGAATTTCCTTTCGTTTATTACTCACCTTTCGGTTAATACATTGTATATGATTCTACACTTAAATTGAATAAATGGGTTAAATGTTTTCTTATAATATCCCGCTTAAAACAAATGATCATAAACATCAAGGAAATGATAAAGGAAGATTCGACAAACAGAGGCTTCGAGAGACTGGGATTTTACTTCATAGTGCGATAATCGTGAGGCTTGCTCATGTACGGATAGTATCTCTTGCATGAAAGTTTAAAGTGCAACGGTCGAGAGGCGACAACACCGGAAAATTTTAAAACTTCCTGTTTTTCTTAGCGTGCAATTCAAGCAATGTAATGACTCATTTTACTTGCCCGCACTTAGCTCTAAGTGTTTCCTGTTGGTATTAGCTACTTTACCGGTGCTCTAAGGACACGACGCTTAGAATTGATCGCCCACACATCTCGACCTCCTATTATATGTTTTTATTTCTCCATGTACCTGATGATAATACACAGGGGCACCCAACGAGAATATAGTTCAAAACTACTTATACATAGCATTGTTAAACGTATTTTAGTATTTAAACGGTAGATATAGGCATATTTTTATCCCCTAAAAATTTTTCATCTGTTCGGATTTCCTAGCTGAAAGTCTGGTGATCCGAAAATTATAGGGATCAAAACTTACCTTTAAGAAAATTCCAGCCAGAAAGAAGGCTCCCGAAAATTCTAGGTGACCTTTTTAGGGTAAAAATCCGTTAAAAATAGGCAATTAGACCATTTTTTAGTTGTTCGAAAATCCTAGGAGCGGCAGGCAAGCAAGAAATTTTACAACAAATGTTCCGAAAATTCTAGATCTCAAATCGTCTTCCGAACAGATATTTTCCGAAAAATGTCGTTGGCTGCCCCGGAATACAGGGACGCGAGTCGATTTGTTCTTACTCACTTGGATATATATGTTGAAGTTCATTTTTATCAGTGGTTTAAATTTTATTTTCTTTTGTTTCAAACTGATTACCATATATAAAACCCTACGAGTAGAGGTTTCTCTCTTGCATGGCTTTTAGCGTTTACGAAGTCGTTCGCGTCGCTTATCGGCCGCGCAGTCGGTTTGTTTGATAAGGGCTGGCCAGTATAAAACAAACCAACTATGCGACTGAAAAACGACGCGAACGACTTCGTAAACTTTAAAAGCCATGCAAGAGAGAAAACTCCGTGACTCGTAGGGTACATACATTAGCATACCCAAAAACAAAAGAAACTAAAAGTTAAACCAAAGACAAAATTGAACAGCAGCATATACTCATAACCTATAAAAAGACAAAGGGCAAAGTACCCATAACCTAAAGGGCAAAAAAATGAAATCTAAAGAGGTCTATTGTAAAAAATAGCTCCCCCCAAAATACCTTGCACGACAGTTTAGCCTTTGTGTAACCTTAACCCCTCCCCCTCCCCCCCTCCTGACGGTGGGAAAAGAACAGGCAACCGTCAGTCATGCGTAAAAAGCGCTATACTTTTAAGGTGATGTTACACGTGACAAATCGCAACAAGGATTTTGAACGCAACGCAGCGTCGCAATGTTGGAACAATTCTGCAACCATTCCAAACAATATCGCAACAATGATGAAACACTGTGTTTCGCTAAACATCGTTGTTGCGAATTGTCCCGAGTAACATTACCTTTATGATATCAGAAGTATGTTGTAAGTGTTCATACTTTGCAGTTGTTGAATGATACAGTTTTAAGGGTGGCTTCAAAGGGCATGCGCAGTTGATCCAAGAGCCTCCCTATTCACTAACACGTTCCACTTCCACACTGAGTATCCATTTATTTCCTTTATTTATTCGAACATCCACATCCGCTTAAAAAAGGTGTCCACTTAATATTTTAACAATGTACGTAGTAAACTGAAGAAGTGCATGGTTCCAGAAGACCCTGATTATTTTGTGTTATCCTAATGATGGTCCATGGAAATGCAGTGAGAATGTGGTCCCACAATCGAGAATATTTTGTGGAAGAAAGCGAAATCTAACACCAGAAAGCTCAGAGAAAATTCTGAGCTCCATGTGGGAATCAAACCCATGACACTACAACTTATCATTTACATGCTCAGAGCTACTACAGACTCTAAGGTGAACAGGGTTGAAATTTAATCAAAATAGGACTATAGCCACGGAGAACTGTTTTGATACACCACTACTCAATAAAAGATAATCTTATATAAAACCTGTTGAAGTATCAACTGTCCCAGTATTGGATAACCTTGCCACATAATCTACTCCAATTCCGGGTTTACCTCGGTGTAAGAACCTGTGAACTTTTTCTTTGTTTTGTACCTTTTGTTTTTCTAGGTTTTATTGTGTTGACGTCGTTTTTTTCTTTGTTTTACGTCACCGGTGAGTTTAACAGGTTCTTACGCCGAGGATGAGCCCCGAATTCATTCAGCTTCTTCTGTAGCTAACGTGTAGTGAGTTTGCACAAACAACATACGTGCCTGAAGATTTAGCCTGGTCCCAGGCTACTTTTGAGGGATTCCATTTACAACTTAAAAATAAACACCTCTTTCTGAGGGATGCCATATAGTAATTCTGATGTGCTTGCTCCCTTATACGATCTTATACTCTTAGTACTGTATCGAAATTTCCTTACAGAAGAGTTTAAAATAATTTCAATAACATTTCCCTTGCCGTTCGAAGTTCTTTATTCTTAAATTCTGTTAGATATTGCAAGTCCGACGACCTAAGTTAATCCCCAGATGCGTCATTTTATCTCACGAGACGAAGATTGCCGAAGCAACTCTCGTTTCTAGTCCTCCTCGATCACCTCCTTTTCAGGGATTCCATCTACAACCCCCCTGTCAGAACGCAAACCGCCTCTTGTCTTTGCGATTCCTGTGTTTCACCTGTGTAGACCTATTGCGAAGTGTTTTTGTCGATTTGATTACCATGTCTGTTCAATCTCTTGTCGAAGAAAACTGGCAAACAACAAAACCTACCATCAAGGAAAGGTGCACGTTCCTGTTTAACAACGATATGTTGAGCGATGTGAAGTTGATTGTACCTGCAGTGACAAGTGCCGAAAGTGAAAGTAAAAAAGCTAAACGGGTGATCTCGGCTCACAAGTTTATACTGTCGATCAGCAGCCCCGTGTTCTACACCATGTTTAACGGTGAATTGCCGGAAACTGGAGACTCTGTGGAAGTGCTTGACTGTGAGTTTGAGACCTTGCTAGAATTTGTCCGTTTCTTGTACAGCGATGAAGTTACTTTAAGCGGAAGTAACGTGTTGCAAGTGCTGTACTTGGCGAAAAAGTACATGGTGCCTTCACTGCCGACAAATGCAGGGAATTTCTGGAAGAGAGTTTGTATCCATCAGATGTGTTCAGAGTTTTGCCAGTTGCTGAGCTACATGAAGACAAAAAGCTGTTAGATCATTGCTGGAAGCTGATCGACAGGCAAACAAAGGTGGCTTTGGAATCAGCTGAATCAATCGAGAGGTCTGTACTGGAGGCGTTAGTGGAAAGAGATACTCTAAACATCAAAGAGATTGATCTGTTTACTGCTGTTAGTCGTTGGGCAACAAATGAATGCGGGAAACAAGGCTTAGAGGTGGAGGGCACAGTTAAAAGAAGAGTTCTTGGAGACCGTGTTGTCAAAGCAATACGCTTTCCATTAATGACGGAAAAGGAGTTCACCTCAGTTGTTGTCAACAGTGAAATTCTTAGTGCCGAAGAAGTTAGTGAGATGAACCAGTATTTTAAAACAGAATCAAGTCATCTAGTGGGATTTTCAAAGAAGGCTAGAAAATATAGTTCCCTTAGTGATCTTCTACGATGTCATAGATTTACAGGTGGTCGCTATGGAAATGGCACTTGGTCATACGATGGGTCTCCGGACAGCCTCCTGTTTCAGGTGAGCCAAGACATTGAACTGCATGGAGTATACCTTTTTGGCAAGGACGACAACAACTATTCGGTATCTTTGGAGATAACTGACGACAGTGATAAATTATTATTACTGTCGCAAACTGGAAATTTTACATCAGAACCTGTGCATGACTGGAAAGTTGGTGATTACGAGGGGTTTCAATTTTTATTTGATACTCCTATTGATATAGCGAAAAACACTAAATACCGCGTGAAGGCATTAATATCTGGTCCTCCCTCCATGAGGGGACAAGGACGCTATGAACGTACAGGTTGTTCAGGTGTGCAGTTTACTTTTTTTGATGATAAAGATCAAGCTAATAATGGAACAAATCACAAAAGAGGGCAATTCCCTGAATTTCTTTTTACATGATGTGGGCAGTAATAGCACACATTGGTTAATGCCGCAATCCCCAGGATTTCAAATTTCCTTGGGTAACACTTCTTCGGTTTCATATGTCCAGTGATCGATTTCATGGGAAACGACTGGTAAATTTTATGGGAAATTTTTGTGTCCAAATTCCATGCCTGATTTGGACACAAGTGTAAGAAACAAAAATAGGATGTAAAATCATGACAACTTTATGTCGATTTGAAGTGCCACTAACCACAAAAAGTTTTTTCTGCTAATATAAATTTCCTTTTTCTCCTGATCACCACTGCGAAAAAATTATCATTGTAGCAATTTTCGTTAATTTCCTATGAATTTTCAAAGTTTGTAAAAGCTCCTGGCTAGATGGCATCCCTCAGAAGGAGGTGTTTATTTTTAACTTGTAAACGGAATCCCTCAGAAGGAGTTTAACATCCCTCAGGAGGAGGTACACTGTATTTAGGTATAACTTGTAAATAGAGTCCCTCAAAAGGAGTTTGGCATCTTCCAGAACGAGGTACACCATATGCATGTTTATGTATAAATTGTAAATAGAATCCCTCAAAAGGAGTTTGGCATCTCTCAGAAGGAGGTACACTTTATTCATGTATAACTTGTAGACCTTGTAAATGGAATCCCTCAGAAGGGGTTTGACATCTCTCAGAAAGAGGTACACTGTATTTACGTATATATTTTTTAGCAGCTACTATAATTTGCAGTCTGTCTGCTTTGAATTGTAAATGGAATCCCTCAAAAGCAGTTTGACATCCCATAGAGGGAGGTGATTGTGTTTAACCTGTAAAATTTACAATGAAATCCCCCTGAAGGATTTTGAATTACAGGATTTTTGTATCCCTAATGGAAATCTCCCAGAAGGAGATGTCTTTTGCCGAGATATGGTTTCAAAATTAAGTAACAAGAAAAATTAAGACAGAATCCATCAGGAAATTGAGTAATTTCAACTTTCAGTGGACACAGTTTATCGTATTATATTCTTTTTTACCCTTTCCAAGGGCTATACATATCATTTGTTATCTGTAATAACACCAAAGACTATTTCTCATGGGAACCTGAGAAAATAAATGTCAGATTTCACAAGAATTGTGAAAATGCAGCTAAAATTCTGAAAATTTCATGTGTAAGACAGGGTTGTCATTAAGAGCTGGGGGCCGGCAATTTTCCCCGGCTACTTTTATTGGAAATAGAAACTAAAGAAAAATAGAACCAAAAGAGATCCTTAGCTGTTTGATTCCTCGCCTACTTGTTGTATTAACCCGGCAACTTGAAATCTTAGTGACAACCCTGGTAAGATGTCATTTTGTGAAATTGGATATTCATTTTCTTGAGCTTGGTATAAGAAATTTCCTTTGGTGTTATTACACTCAGATAACTAATTTCGTCAATAGCCCTTGAAAAATGTACAGAAAGAATGTGATATCGTTTAAAATATTCTAGTACAAGGTTTTTGTCCACTGAAAGTTGAAATTACTCAATTTCCTGATCAATGGCCGGCCAATTCCGTCTTACTACAACTAAATTTTGCAAGGCTGTATGGTACGGTATGGTATGGTAACTTTATTTATACACGGTATTTCCTTCAGGTACATTTTACATTCAAGTATAGAAAACCAACTACCTAACTAAACTAGAATCTAAGATGAAAACTAAAATAATAAAGATGAAAAGAAAATGCTTTTCAAGGAGGTGTGGTCTAATAAAAGTTAAAGGGAACCCAATGAGCTGAAGCTATGAAATCTAGAAGAGTTCCCAGTATAGATAATTTCTGAGGAAAAAAGATTCTCTTGTCGTTTGGCACAAATATGGGCCACCGGCTGATGTTAGAGCACAGCCTTGTATTGTATAAGCTATTTCCACTTTTTATTGTCTGTTTGATGTTGCTATGCACTACAACATGCAAGTAGACAACTCAGTATAATTGTGTTCTGTAGTTTGAAAGTCCATGGTGATCAGTGCATGATGCATTGTCATTTTATAGGGCTGTAATTAATAAGGGAGCATTTAAGCTTTCAGTACTAATAGGGTAAGCTTAATTAAAGAAAAATGCCAAAACCTTGCACAATAAAAATGTGTTACAAGTCAAAATTAAATTCAGGTTAAAATTTTTTAACCCCGCACACCTATACCCAGGCAATGCGGGGCATAATTAAAATAGCAGGAGATTTCAGGAGGTTTAGACTGTCACTTTTGCAAGGTATGAGGGTTTGAGAGTACTGGACCAGTGTTTAATCCACGCTGCATTTTTGCGTCATTGACAAAAATATACCATTCTGATGCAAAATCAAATTATCGTGGAGTCAAACTGACGCAACAAAGGTTACCTCATATAATTTATACAAGTACTTCCAAAGCAGCAGTCAATATTAAAAATAAAAAAAAGGTGTGCTTACTAGCTTGAAGTAAGCATGCAAAATGACTGTCATTTCAGACTACGTGCTTATGAGTAGTTTTTGTGTCAGGCCTTTCACACAGTAAAGAGAGAGACTGGAGTGTGATCAATTCAAGCTTCATTTGTTGAATTTGTTCTTTTTCTTATGCAAAAGAGAATAGCAGTTGAACATGAAAAGCATGAAGATGGGCTGCGGAATAAGAAAGGTGAAGCTCATGATAGTTTGGATAATATCAGTTGTTCAGAGATTTAATATCTTAGTTTGACCCAGACCATTCTTGTCAAAATGACCCTATTTAACCCATTCGCCCCTGAACCGCCCGTAACCGCCCGTACGGATCCAGGTCCTTTCTACCCTTTGTGACGTCATCAGTTTTAACGGTCAAGGACAACTTTCTTCGCTAACTTGTGTAGAGTGAAGAGATCTTTCAAACCATACCAGAATGAGCACAATTCAGTCAAGGACACCGGAGAAAGAAGCGAAAAACCACATGACATTGACCTGAAAATCTCCATGAAAATCTTGTTCCATTGCCCACCTACCTTTCCTTTCACCTAATCCTAAGATCCTAAAAGCTTTCCTAAAAACTCTTCCCACCAAAATGAAGCCTACTATTTTAATGCCCAGCCGGAGAAAAAAAAATGAGGCAAGAAAAGCCAAAAAAGAAGGGAGGAGAGAAAGCAAAAAGTAAAAGTCAAGACTGCTGTGTCACTTTTAAACCCAAAAAATCTCGAAATTTTGCTTTCTGCGCATGCCCAAACTTCGCAAGCTGATATTTTGCATCTGGATCAGAAAGCCGCCAAGTGTACGACCTGTTAACCGGTTTGTGGTAAGTTTTAGCTCTTTATAGCACGACAGTGACCAGAAAACTACTCGACTAGCTTCAAAACGCGTTTTTCGGCAAAATCTCCAGGAGCGAATGGGTTAAAATGCCATGTGGGACATATGACCCACTTTGATTAATTTCTAGATTGAACATTGCTGGAGGCAAGTCTCAGCCAGCGGGAACCATTGGCAGGGCTTACACCCGGAGGGGGTACTGCCATATATGGGCTATATAGGTATGTGCCGCTGTGAAGGGTATGGTTTTCAAGCAGTTTACTCTAGGATAGGGTGTATAAATCAGAGCGTTTGGGTCTAGAATAGGGTATCATTTTTCAGGAAACTGATCAGTTGGTTGAAGATTTTGTCTAGACAAGGTAAACAGCTACTCTAGGATGGGGAATTTGGGGAATTTACTCTAGTATAGGGTAGCAAAATTCAGCTGAACTAGCTCTGGTATAGGTTAAGGGTTCCAGGGTCCCAGCGGCACATCCCCACCCAGAAATTCCTAAAGTACCCCCTCCCCGCCCCCCCGGGGGCTTACACGGGAATTCACCTTTGATGCAATCTTGAATAAAGCATGGTACAGGATCAGAAAATTTCTTACAATGGCTCCCAAAATTTAAATTGAAAATTTACATAATTGGTTTATAATTAAATAAAATTATAAAAAGTAGATGGATACAGGTAAATGATAATACGATAAAAATAGAAATAGAAACAGTTCAATGTTCATTCCTTCGGTTCAGACCGTCTGGTGACCGTCTGGTGCCTCTATATACATGTATGAGGAACGCTTCTCTTGCCTTAGGGCGTGACATGCTGAGAGTGGGTTGTAATTCCAGAGGAATAATTTCCCTGTCTGTGAATGAGTGACCAGGTTGATTAAAGTGGGAATTAAGGGACTGCTACTGTGGTGTTTGCGTGGAGTGAATTGTTTGTTGTCTGCAGTGGGGTGTCTATGTTCTTAAAACCGTTCATGAAGTGTGCGTTTAGTTTCACCTCTCCCTATTATTGTTTTTTACATCTTTTACACTGGATCATATATGTTAGGTTTGTTGAGTCACAGGTAATGTGATGTAAGGTAACAGGTAAGTGATATAATGTGATGTGACGTAAGTGTGCAGCCACCCCCTCCCCCAGGAAAATCAGCAACCCAGTTAAAATCGCCTTTTGGCCTTTCTTATTTTCTTAAATAATGTTCGCCATGAAGCTTGAATGAGGACAACCAAGTTAAGTCAGAGCAGATGCAGTTGTGTAAAAAAGGGTCTGGGGAAAGACATGCATGAAAACCCTTAACTTGGTCGTGGGGTAAACTATCTGTGCTAGTCTGCCCACAGACGTCTTCCCTTTCTTTTTGAAAAAGAACTTGATCGCGCGAGCTCCAGTGCGTTGAAGATGGTTTTATTTTCAATTGCACGTTCAGCAGTTTAAAGACCGAATTGATGATCTGTGAACAGATGTCAATAAGGAACAATTGTACGTACAACTGCAGGAATTCATAACAGCTTTGGCAACTATAAACAGTGTTCGTTACAGTTTTGTTTGTTTTGAGTATTATCAAATTAGCAAACGAGTTAGAATGTGTCAAAGTTAACTGATTTTTGCTGTGATTTTGATGTAGATGTCTTTGTTGTAACAAAAACAGGACGTTTTTTAGGAAGCATTTGTTGTTGTCATATATGATATATAAATAAAAAGCTTTTAAGGAATACAGATTGCAGATAATAACAATTATTATAAGTTTTGTTTCCCTTAAATATGCCTTTCTTAAGATACGATAATGCCTGGCACTGATCGATTCAGTCGTTACCATAACATTTTTACAGATAATAAATGGATGTTTATTGAAAAGAACTGAATGGTGCATTACAACCAGGGTTTGAAAAGTCTTACATCCAGGGGTCTTATATCAGAGTTGTAAAGTCTTACATCCAGGGTTGCAAAACCTTCCATCCAGGGGTTGTAAATCCCTACGTCTTGGGGTTACAAATCCTTACATCCATCTAGTGGCTCCGACCCCACCTGCAAAGCCAGGGAAAAGCGCCCTGGGGACGACGTTGGACGATGATGGTGATGATGATGACGAAGACGGCAGTGGTGAAGAAAACGACGCTGGAGATAATGATGATGATGATGATGGTGGCGATGATGATGACGATGATGGTGGTGATGATGATGATGATGGTGGTGATGATGATGATGATGATGGTGGTGATGATGATGACGATGATGGTGGTGATGATGATGATGATGATGGTGGTGATGATGATGATGATGATGATAATGATGATGACGATGATGGTGGTGATGATGATGATAATGATGATGATGATGATAAAGATGAAGATGAGCTCAGTTAGAGTACGTTAGAGTTGACAAGATGCCCTTAAAGCCTAATTTAACAGAGGGCTACAATTGACAGCCTGTAACCAGCAGACAAACAGAACCAAACTCTAATGTTTACATTAAGCAAGCAAGCAAGCAGTTCATAGTTGCTCTCAATGTTGGTGAAACAGAACTATAACGAATGCCAAGAAAATGATTTTGGATACTAAAACAAGGTTCCTCTCATTCTTCGGCCCATTCCTCGGTCATAGACCACATTAAACTTGTTGATAAACTGAAAAAAAAGAATTTTTAAGCTCATTAAAATTGATAATGACTTAACGATGCACTGAATATCACAAAGATTATCATCTACATCAACTGAACCCAAAGGCACTGGCAGACGTAAGATATGTAGCTCTAACTTAAGAGTTCAAAACTACGAGCAGCCTCTTATATTTCTTCACAGTAAGTAACGAGTAGCATGCGAGACATGATCGCGAAGCCCCGGGATAAGAGCGGGTCCTCTTCATCGTGCCTCCAGCTGCCGGCGTGGCTTTTTTCTTTTCTCGCTCATTTCGCTTGATGGACAGAGAGGCTGCTCGAAGAATGACACAATGGATGTTACTAAAAGGGTGATGGGAACAGGAACGGGGAATAAAAACCCCAAGATCAAAATTTGAATTGTCATTTGTTACCCCTGTTCATTTTCTACAGAAGTAGTGAGGAGAAGTTGATAAAATATCGAGCAAATTCACCTTGTGTGATCATGTCCTTAATTCTCATGACCACTCTGTTTCACAAAGCGTTGGTATTACAAGAAGAAATTTGATGCTGATCACTCTCAGGAATAAGGAACATGGAGAAAAACAACCCCAACCCTTTCACCATCCATTACTCATTCTCTGCTTTCAATTTCCCGTTTCCTTTTCCATTTCTCCATTTCCCGTTTCTTGCCTTAGAAATAGATCAATAGAACCGATTACACAAAAGGAAATGAAACATTAGAGAACTTTCGCAATAGGATGCCAGGAGAAAGAAAATGGCTAACCTTGCGTGACAGTTTCCTATAAGATTTTTTTAGCTTAAAAGCCATGAAAAATAATTTCAGCAGGTAAATGTGATGCTTTTTCGCATACGTTGCTAGTAAATCTTCCCCAAGTTAAGGCCATGTGATCATAAAGGCCTTTAGCTAAGACGTTTCTAAGTAACACACATCAACTGGAAGTGAGCTTTTGCATTCTTAGGCAGTGAGTTTAACCAAATTTTCGGCCTGATCGTCTCTGTTAGTCTCCATCGCAGCCGTTTTTGTCTCGTCACGCAACGCCCCTCTCAAAACAAAAGCGGCTGCGAGGGAGACTACGTCTCCATAGGAGTAAATGCACTTGGCAATACAAATTTGGGAGCTTCCAGGCATATTAAAACGGAAACGCCCTCACTTCCGGATGAAACTAAACAACATGGAGAATGAAATTACACCTTTATGTCATATGTTCTTCTATTTTAGGAAATGGATGTAAATAAAATAAACATACCTCATTCAAGCTGTTGGCACCTTTTGTTATTGTGGACAAATAGCACATCAACATGACATCATTACATTGCTGGAAAAGAGATATGAGACCAATTTATTTTAGGTACACTGATTTGGGCGGCATGTTCTAGATGAGTAAAAAAATGGTTATGATACACGACCACAAAGCCTCTTGAGATCGTTTAGAGGGACAGCTTCAAGGTCAGCACATGGCACACTACAGCTGCTGTGTTCAGAAATGCAACTAATTTTACTTTCTAAAGGCCCCCGACTCTGTTGCGAGAAAGCAGGAGCCGAGTAATCTGGCTCCTGGAGAAAGTAAATTTACATTCCACACTTTTAACGTGAGCTTGGGACACCTGTTATAGTCTCTGTGGGGTCGGGGAGTGGGCGGGGAGCATTGCGTGACTGCGGACCGAGCGGCTACGAAGGAGACTAGGTCTGTGATAGAACCAAAAGAAACTCATTGCATACACCTGGCAACTTGAAATCTTAGTAACAACAATGATAATGACAGCATCATGGAAACACCTCTGATGAGAATACAAAGGACAATCTGGAGTCTAGTCTCCATGACTGCTTGAATTAGCCTGCGAGCAAGCTCCCTCCATTTTTTGGTGCTGCTCGCCAAACAGAGCCTCTGTTTGAGGGCTACACATGGAGTGAAAATCAGGTGACACTTACATTGTAAAAGTCTTCTCTAAATACATCTGTCTGCATGACTGGAAGCCTCTGGATTAAACTCAATGTATCCCTCATTATCTCATGGTTACAAGGAACTTCTCCTGGATTAATTATAATGAAAATAAAAACTCATTAAAGGAGCTGTGTCACGAAATTCAGCCAAATTAGGAAATTACAAAATGCCTGTTAGATTAAGAGAAACATAAAAATAACTGCTTAAAACTTTAAAGGAAGGTTAAAATAACATAACAGAAACAACAGATGCCACGGATGGGCAAAACTGAAGAAGATTGAAACGGATTGAAATTAGAATTTTTTGAAAACTGTTCAGCCCAACAGTTTTTCAAAGTTGATCCCTGCCGCTTGCAACTTCAAAAATAATGCTCAGGAGACATATTTGTTTGTCTCGGATCTCTGATTTTGTCATATACCTGTAATTTCTTTGCTTACTTTAATTTTCATCGCGACTGAGGGCCAGTAATTGGCAAAATTAAACAAAATGAACTGGACTGCTGTGACACAGCCCCTTCTTCAGGTATATGAGAGGGTAGGGATTTCACTAGTTGAAGTATATGAAAGGGTAGGGAAATCTGTCATTGCAGTCTGTGAAAGGACCTCAAAGAGCTAGCAGACATATTTTATGGCTGTGGAAAAGACAAGAAAACTTCACGGTTAAGTAATTAATTCATATTTTAAAGACAACAAGAAACAACAAGAAACTGGCATAAGCAGTATCATCAACACTATCAGGAAAGCAAAGTATATACGGGCAGGTCACATCGCATGGCTATCTGATAACCATTGGACCATCAGACCAACAGAGTGGACCCCAAGAAATTGGACCAGAAAACAGGGTCATCCAGTTTGGACCGGTATGGTCAAGTGTAGCCAAGCACAGACACGTGTGGGATCAATCCAGGGAGGAGTTCCTCTGTCAAGAGTGAATACAAACCCTGATGATGATGATGGTGATAAAAGAAATGCAGTGTTCTAAACTAGTATGTGACAGGGGTATTTTGTCAACGAAAGGTAAATGAAAGGGGTACTTTTTTTGTCAAAAAATAGTATATACTACGGGCAAGTGATTAAATCTCGGGCAGAGCCTCCCAACATAAAATTTTGTTGAATACCCCCTCCCCCTAAGATTTTACATGTTTGCTCACCATTTTTTACAGCTTTGGCATATTCTAAAATCATCTTAACTCTTGAATGAAGCATCTTGATGGCATTGTACTGGGCAAGAAGATGCTCAGAAACTGTGAAAAGATATGAACAATGTCGGACAGAAAAATGAAGGTTTAGTTTATGTCTGTAGTGTTATCACTGTGGCTGTATTGATCAGCTCCAGTCACCCATAATATTACTATTTGCAGCCCTATGCTGTACTCAAAAGTCTGTGACATTTACTTGCTAGAGCTTATTTTTTATTTAGGGGCTTTTTTGCAGTGGATAACACATAGTCTTGACTCTCTTTACTGCCCACTTAAGGCCAGTTGGTTTAGTTCTACATTCCCTGAAGAATATCCACGTCCGCTTACAAAAGGTACCTGCTTACAGCATTTTAACAATGTATGCAGTGAACTGAAGAAGTGCATGGTTCCAGAAGACCCTGATTATTTTGTGTTATCCCAATGATGGTCCATGGAAATGCAGTGAGAATGTGGTCCCACAATCGAGAATATTTTTTGAAAGAAAGCGAAATCTAACACGAGAAAGCTCAGAGAAAATTCTGAGCTCCATGTGGGAATCAAACTCATGACACTACAACTTATCATTAATAACCTCAGAGCTACTACAGACTCCAAGGTGAACAGGGTTGAAATTTAATCAAAATAAGACCAGCCACAGAGAACTGTTTTGATACACCACTACAAAAATTAATAAAAAATTATTATATACAACCTGTTGAAGTATCAACTGTCCCTGTATTGGATAACCTTGCCACATGATCTACTCCAATTCTTTCAGCTTCTTCTGTAGCTAATGTGTAGTGAGTTTGCACAAACAACATACGTGCCTGAAGATTTAATAAAGAAACTACATTAGAATGGTATGCTGTACATTTAAGAGAAATAGCTTGTCACCTCTGAAAATAGCTGTTAAATAGCATTTATTATAATGTTTGCATTTGACACAAGCCCCTTATGTTTGCACTGACACTCATACTGAATTAATTAAGCTCAGTGTTATACATTACAATAACTGAGCGAATCCTCAGGCGCTGATTGGTCAAGAGCTATGGTCTATGAGAATAAAGACCATGGACATGATATAACATGTCACACAGCACCGGTTGTTTTGTTCTTGGTTTTTCGTAAAAATAAATGTCAGTGTAAAAAACAAATCGACCACAATTTTCCATGGTCTACACTCTTATAGACCATAGAAATGATGCCATAAAAATTAATGTTCAAGACTTTGCAGTGAAACCTCTCGCCTGCGGCTCATGGTTCCACTTGAGTTTTGACCATTTTATGACGTCATTTCTATAGTCTATAAAAGTGTAGACCATGGAAAATTGTGGTCGATTTGTTAACCCTTTAAGCCCCGGTATCTACATACAAATTCTGCAAACTGACCTCCATACATTTCCATAAAGAATTAGTTGAGAGAATTTGATGATAGATCAAGGTATTTTCTCTTTGGTGATCATTTTATTAATTCTCATGACGTATCTCTTGATAGTGTATGGATATTGTTAGGAGAAAATTGATCTTGGTCCCTATTGGGACTAAAGGGTTAAATAGTAACTACTTACTGCTCCATCAACAATGTCTATCACAGATTCAAACAAACTGATTGGTAACTGAAACAAAATTGTTGAAATTACAACCAAGTTAAAAAGATGTCTACTCATTTGCTCAACGTGTCAAAAAGCAGGAAGTATTGTTCTCACTTTAAAATAATAAAAAAATTCCAGTTTAAGGTGGCAACCAAATTAAAACAAAATCATCAAACCATATTTTTTATAGTGTACCAAAACATTACTCCAACATGCGACTTGTTTTAAATTCTTTGTAACTAAAATAACATCAAATAAGTGATCTCAGTGGAGTAAAAGCAAAAATTGATGAGTACAACGTAGTATATGTTAAACAACAAAAACAATAATCAGAACTTACATCATTTGTCTTTGCAAGTGGATTAAGTTTCAGAAACAATGGACTTTCATTTATCTCACACATCTGAAGAAAAATGACATTTCACAAAGTTTGAGAAAGTAGAAACATAACAACTTCAAAAGATCAACAGTCAATCATCTTCACAAAACTAGACTGCAACACAGACGAAACCAAACTTTTGGTTAAGTTTGTCTGTGGGCGAGCACAGAAATCCCTGTTCTTGGCCACCAGCTGAGTACCAGGATTTGACGAGTACACACACACCATGGTTAGCCTGTCAAAAAGGCATTATTCGATTGGCCAATCAAGTTGAAGGAAATTCGGAATACACTTTTAGTAATTCAATGAAACCTTTAGGGGCCCAGAACAAAGAACTTACCACTGCTAAGCACATAGTATAATTATGTGCCAGCGTTAGATTACATTATGTCTGTGACAGAAGCTACACAAAACAAACCTGTTTGTGTACTTTGATGTCATTTTCAGTGGGTTCAGACCCTGTCGTATACCAACCAAGGAAATCCAGATTCTTAAACACCTGATGAACTATAAATTAAAATAATAATAATAAAAAAAACAAATAAGTAACACCCATTTAATTTAAACCTATTCGCTCTTCAACTGCCCACAATTGCCTGTGTGGATCAACATTCCTTGTGCCGCTTCTGACATCACAAGCAATAACAATGCAGTGACAATTCGATCACTCACTCAAGAGTTTAGTTATTTAAAGGGATAAAATATTTAAGCAATAGAAAACGTTTTCCGTGTTTGTATAGCCTGATATAAACACGAGAGGGGTTGGGAGAATTCAAGACAGTTATGCAAACCCAAGACGAAGTCGAGGGTTTGCATAACTGTCGAGAATTCTCCCAATGCCTGGAGCGTTTATATCAGGCTATGCAAACACAGGAAAAACGTTTTCTATTGCTTTTATAAAATAAATTTCCCAAGAAAAAACGCAAAACTCTTTGTATGGCACTGATTAAAATGGAAATTCTTACCAGTCGCAAAGTCTTGTCCACGAAGTCTTGCACGCGTAATCAGTTCTTGTTTTGCAAAAAGATGCTTTCCAAAATACGGACTTTTCTCGCTTAAAATGTCAGCTAAAGCGAAAAAAGATTGACATACTTTCTTCGCAACGATTTTCCAAGTTTCAGCTGACGAAGGAATGGGTAAATAAAGTAAACTTGTCGAGTTTTGAACATGAAAACTTTTTCAAATTTATGCTTGCGTGATTGGCGCGGGAAAAGCAAAACATCTTGATGCCACAACCATGTTTACATACTCTCATGCAAACACTTCTCTCAGCCAATCAGAGCGCACGTACCATCTTAGTTATTTTATAAGAAAATTTGGATTTATCAGCTAAGTTGATTAGGTAAATAGATTAAAAAACGTGTTTTGGGTTCCACTATTAGGAACATTGGGAGGCATGTTATTATAGTTTAATTTATTGAACATCACCAAAAATTGCAGTTGCACCTAACAACCAGGTACAAGCTTATTTTTCAGTTTGTTACCTTGACAAAATCTTGTTTAAAAGTTTGCCCTGCATCTTATAACTGAATTCACAGAATAACTAAAACAAATATGGCCTTTTGTTGGCAAATCAAAGAGTTGTGGTTTGTGAGTGGTTCATTTTCTTAAAATGGCAGAGGTTCACTTATGGCAGGATCATGGCAACAAGAAGAAAAAAATTCAATTACTTGGAAAAAGACAACTACAGCTTTCCTTATTGACTTGGTGGAAAGAAAAACAAGTGAATCCATCCATAGGCAATAATTATTTTGAGTTACCTAGCATGGATAGCTTGGGGAACTTTGTTGCCCCTTTCATTTCAATCAAAATAAAACCTTTTCATACTTATTTAAAAATTTAAACCAAGTAAGAGCTCTTGCTACAAAAATATGCAATGTTTTCAGAGCAAAAGAGGGAAGAATACAAATCCATGTCAACAAAATAGGCCAAAGGAGATTCTGCCCTAAATTCACTTGACAAGTGGCTAGATTTCTTTGCTTGACTCTCTTCACACGTTTAGGGAAAGTACCACAAACAAAGTTTCCATTTTGGATTATAAACTTTGTTCCTGTTATCTCAACAAGTCTTCTTTCTTTACCAACATTCTGTTAATTTCTCTCGTTTTGAAACATTACTCTCTCTTTGTTGGTGAGGAGAGGGCCACCATATCTGCTATCAACAGAAGACAGATAGCCTGGCTTAGTCATACCCTATGACATGGTGATCCTGTCCGATGAGTTATTGAGGGAAGAATAATAGGAAAGAGACCACCTGAAAGACCTCAAGTGGGAATGCTGGATAGAGTAAAGGACGGCAGCCCTTACGGACCTGCCTGTGTGCAGAACACACACACCCTGTCTTTAATATTGCATTAATTTCCTTTATTCAAAAGTCATTTTCCACTAAATTTGCATTAAAATGATGAGAGTTGTGTCACAAAATTTACCACAATTCAAACAGTGGGAGCTCAGCTACCAAACTGAACGTTCATATAAAATAACTGTTCAAAATGTATGAATTCAAAACGAGGCACAGATGGACCAACTTGAAGAAGATTAAAACAGATTGTTGTTTTTAATGTTTGATATAATGTTTGGGAGACATGTTTGTAAGAGATGAAACTGTAATTTTGTCATTCAAAAGAAATTTCTCAGGTTTCATAGCAAAAAACGAAGCATAGAAGTTTTTATTAACAAAATCAAACAGTCAGCCATGACAAAACCCCTTTAAAGGCGATTTTACATGGGATGATTTGCAATGATGGTTTTTAGTGCAACACAGCGTTGCAATGTTGGAACAATGTTGTAGCTATTCAAACAAAATTAATGTCACAACAGTGTTGCAATGCTTTCTTAAGCTAAAAACCGTCATTGCTAATCGTCTTGTGTTACATCAACTTGAGTGGCTTTCGTAACTTTAGGGGACTGTCACTTTATAGAGGAAAAAAACCACATGTACATGTAACTGAATGCATATTGAGAAGACTGATGAGATTACATGGCAACATGACGAATCTATATTAAGCCAAATGTAGAGTGTAGAACAAGGCAAAAAACATAACCTTTTTTTGCTCATTTTCTGTAGTATTCCTGCTTGAATCTACAGTAAACTGGTTAACATCCAAAAATTACTAAGAAATGTCCTAACTACGATATTCATCATTTGTGGCTAAAAGATGCATCCAGAAATGACCAATATTTGCACTTTTTTGGTCTCTGCTGTCGAACATGTGACATGATTTTTTTGTTGTATTAAATTTGTCATTTTTCTTGCAGACCTACTTTTTTTGCTCTATGGAGTGGCAATCCCTTATAAGTAACAAAAGCCCTCTAAGTTGTGTTAATTTTCAATACCTTAACCCTTTAAGCCCCAGTATCTACATACAAATTCTCCAAACTGATCTCTATACATTTCCTTACAGAGTGAGTTAAGAGAATTTGATAAATGATCAAGGCATTTTTACTTGGGTGATCATTTTAATAATTCTCATAACTTATCTGTTGACAATATTTGCATTATTGTTAGGAGAAAATGGATCTAGGTCACTATTGGGACTTAAAGGGTTAATTAATTCATTGAGCATAAATTTCCTATAATAAAGTATGACAAACTTACACTGTTCTTCTTTAGTCTTATAATACTCCATGTTAATCACAATTTGACCATCATCAAACAGATCAAATTGCAGCTCAAAGGAATTGAAAATTTCTATTTTTCGTCCATCCTGAGTTCCGAGAAGAGCTCCAATCACTAAAAGTGATAAACAATTACAGCAATTTCAAACAATTATACATAATAATCATAACATAGCTAGAAGACTGGCCTAATCAAATTTAATAGTGCAAATGTGCTTCATATTCCCATCGAGCATGCTGATGACATCAACCAACCAAAACCTCATGTTTTTGTGGGTTTAGCAATCCTCGCAAGTGCACCCATAACTCAATACAACACGATGAAGCATTTACCATGATTGTGTTTTATAAATTATGTAATCTAAAAAGAAATGCCTTTGAATTTGTTATCAGATCACAGGGGAGCGGGTGAGTGTTGTTGTTGTCATCTGGGTGAGCTATGGTGTGTGCAAATCATTCTTTGCAAAGTTTTTTTGTTCAAGAAGAATTTTTCAGTGAATCTATAGTTTTCCGAATCAATATGGATTCTAAAACACTTTATAATGTTTTCTTAAGTGTCTTTGTTTCGTTTCGTTCTCTCAATGAGGCTAGAGTTGTTCTCATCTAAGCCTGGAGCAACTCTTACCCCTCTTTCGTGCTCTACAAATTTTGCTAGTGCTTCATAACTCAACAAACGCATTAAACGTATTGTTAAATGATAATAATGAGCAATGTTTTATAAAACATATATTGGAAATTCAACGTCCAGCATATTGTAAGAGCTTTTAACTTTCACCTACTTTCACCCACTTTTATCAGCAATAATGTTTAAATTAGACGTTTAGTTTACATCCATCCACATACATGTATGAGCCTCTCTATGGGTACTTGGGGCATAATTTTGTTGCCCGTTTTGCATCAAATGATCGGTTTTTCAACAAAGTCGTCGCATACTAAGAATTGTTTAGCGAGCTCGAGAAACCACAATGACAATGAAGGAAATGAGAAAATAGAAAAGGAACAGGTTTAATAAGCAAGACAAAAACTGTACATTCAGCACAGTTATTGGCAGATTCCTTTGCAATCATGCCATAGCCATTACTTTGTCAAACTTGATTGGAATGGCAGTGCAATCCTCCCTATAATCTTCAAGATGGTCATTTCATCAATAGTGATCGTCGTGACTTCAATTTGCCTATTTCTCACTTACTTTTCCAAATATTACATTAGGGCCATTTATACGAGAAAAAATAAGACGTGTCTTACATAAGACGCGTCTTAAATAAGACGCGAACTGTATCATTTATACGAGCATGTCTTATCTAATAAGACGCGTCTTAGCTAAGCCGCGTCTTATTTTAGACGAAATGTGCCGTTTATACGGAAAGTTCACGTCTTATTTAAGACGCGTCTTATGTAAGACGCGTCTTATTTTTCCTCGCATAAATGGCCCTATTTTGTCATTTTCGGGATAATTTTAGGAAAAACCGCAAAATATAATACTTGCGAAATCTGATACTCAGAAGATTAAAATCGTGAAATTTAATATCAGATATATGCATCCATAAATAACGAAATCCAAGCCGCTGCTTTATTAGTTATGCCAACATGTTTCAGTTTCAAGTTCAGGAGTTTTTTGTTTGATTTCGGCCATTAGCCTTTCACCGCATCACCCTCGCTTTCCGAACTGTTCTCTGCTGCTAGATTCTTCAAAATCTCGCTGGTGCAGTCGTCAAACGTTTGTTTTTAATTGTCTTTGTTTGCTGTTGTTTACGATAAAATTATTAATTCTGTTACGTTGTTACTGTTCTGAGGTCAAGTTACCTTTACATATAAAAGAATAGAAAAATCGCGAAATTTACTACACGTTAATTCTACCTTTCCCTAAAATATTGCAAAATCAAATGCTCGCGAAATTAAGTGAGAACAAGCTACGTCGGAAATACCTCTACTGGGTGTCGCAAATATAAGCTTAATCGTAACTGAAACAATCCTTATTAAACCTACCTTGAGGATTCGGTTTTCCATACTGTGCTTTTATCCTAGTATAATGTTCAGAAATATTCATGATGACGAGAGGATGAAGAGCCACAGATACGCTTCCACTGGAACCAGAACTTGCCAAAACAGTATCGGATACATCTTTTGATGAGGAAGGTTGAACTTCCATAGACGACGCCATGTTGGATAGTTGATGGGTAATGCATCATGTAAGCTTCCCACAAAATGTCCCGTGCACATCATGTAAGCTTTCCGCAAAATGTTCCGTCAAAAATGCACCTCGTTGTTTCCACTGTTGCCTTGTTACCTGCTATCTTGTTACCTTGTCTACCGTGTTACTTCAGTAACCTTGTGTGAAAAAATCGTGAGGAGAGGGATAGGAAACCCTTTCCCTTCCCTCTCCTCGCGATTTGTTCACCCTTTCTCAAACAAAGAGAATGTTCACAGGCTAGGTAAAAAAAGGAGTGGGAAGCGGGAATTTTGATAACGAGCGGGAGCGGGAGATCAGTCCAGTTTTTGTTGGGTTGGGATACGGGAATCGTAAGGGAAAAGCAGGGGGATACAAGAATTTAGTTTTTTCGTAACCGCATTTTTTAATTAAATTAACCAGAACTGACTTTAAAAATTACTCTTTTTTCAGTAGTCCCCCAAGGAAATGAAGCCTGTCAAATTTATCCATTATCACCTTTGCGTGTTTTCGTGATGCCTTAAAGTTCCGAACGTAACGACCCCTCGAAAGTAGAGCACCTCCGAAAGTAGCCATTAAATGTCACAGGTATTGGCAAATCCCGAAAGTAGCGATCCCCCCCGAAAAAAACGACCTTCCGAAATTAGAGACCTCAAAACGAATTTCCCTTTTCGCAACATATAACGGATATGATAAATATCCTGAACAAATGCTACACTAATCCAAGGTTTATTTATTAATTAACAATAATTAATGAATGAGGCAGAGTATCTTATGAAGAATTATGGAGATCGAGGAGGGTGTTAACACACTCCATAATTCTTCATATGATACGAAAGCCGAATTCAATAATTGTTTTTTTTATTATTCATTCAAAATAATTCCTAGTTTAAAAACATGGCTAAAACATGCTTACCTCCATCGATCCATCGATGTTAACTTCATCTTCGATAATGTACGTTTAGAGTTTGTTCGGCTCCGCAAATATTCTCCAAATAGCAGACGTCGCCCTTCGAGTTGTCTTCTGGCTGTTCTTGCCATGTTTTTAGCTATTATTTCGCCTAGTTCTTACTCTTGAAACGAGTGAAATGTCCGCCATTTTCGTTCTCGCAACCAAAACAACTCAACCTCGTTCCCAGATCTTCTCGGTTAACGGTGCATTAACCTTTCAAAAAAGCTGCACTTTTGACGTCATCGGTTCATTAAACGCAAAATTCTTCCAAATTTGGTCATCAGTAGCTGGTTATGGTGAATTATGCGTGTGCTTTTAGCCTATCAGAAATAATGATTACTTAACATTCCTATTAATAACTCTTAAAGCACACCAAATGCATTACCTTTTTTCAAAAAGTATTCCTTTTACATTTTTTGCAATTTTATTTTCGAAGTGTCCATGTGGAGTACAGTGTCATGTTTTAGCCATCCGAAAGTAACGACCCCCCCGAGAGTAAAGCGAACGTCCGAAAGTAGCAATAACAGAAGGATGCTAAATCCTCTTCACTTTCGAAGCTTTACGGTATTCCGGTACTTGGTTAGCGTGCGCGAACGGTTAAAAGCAGAGGTCTGAGTGCCAAAGTGCAGTCGAAACAAGGGAGAGACACGAAAAACACGCGGTTTTATACAGCCTTCGAGAGGAAATTTACGTCGGTACTTCGCACCTTTCAAACCGACTGTGAGGCAAAGAAAGGACTGTTGTTTTTTAAGCACCTATTTTTGTGAGGATTTAAGACTGGAAGAAAATTTAAGAAAATATCAAAAGATTTTAAATAGGGACGGTACAAGTAGCAGTGCAACAGAGGAAGAAATCGAAGACAAAGTCCGAGAAGGGTGGAAAAGTAAACTTTCTGCATGCCGGGTGGTTGTCTGCATTTAGTTGTGCTGTTCGATTCTATTGCAGGTTTATGTTTCTAAATTTCTACAAAAGAGAACATTTTCCCAGTCTTTGTATCCAGTGTGTTCATATATATTTTCCATAACCCGTAGTCAGCGTAGACAATTGGCTTCATCGCATAATGGAATCTAGCAGTAAAGAAATCGAAACATTTTTCTACCCAACTCAACTGGCTGTTTTCCAAAAAGCCAAGAAACAGATCGAAGTAAAACTTATTTTTTGCGCGGACGAAAAAAAACATAAGCAAAACAGAAAATGAAATTACGGTCGTTAATGGTTAAGAATGTTTATTTCAATACTGGAAGCAAGAAACTCGTATAAGAATTAGGTCGGGATCGGGATTCGTACGTTAAAAAGGGCGGGATAGCGGGATTAAGAAGAAAAAACAAGCTGCAGGGGAAGGCGGAATTTGAGAACCCTATTGTGTACCATCCTTGTCCGTGTTATCCCCGGGGGGGACTCCCATACGAAAGTGACGGGGTTACTCGTTGTCTCGCTTTGGGGTGTTAAAATTGCAGAGCAAATTTCAGATTTTGGTCTCACTTAGGATGTTTTGGATGGAAAGTCACTATATTTGCCCGTTCAGGTATCGCTTAGTACTGTACCCACATTGGTCTCCCTTAGGGGTTTAATTTGAATTTCCCGTCGCGTATCCCCTTGACTTTTACATGGGAGTCCCCCACGGGTTGTTACGCCAGTTATCTTGTTACCTCAGTTACTTATTACCTCAGTCACCTTGTTACTTTAGCTACATTGTTACCTCTGTTACTTTGTTACCTCAATTATGTTTATAAACAAACATGTCAGTTTCTTGCGATGTCTGGCGCGATGCCTTACGATTCTGTCACGCAATAGTCAAGCATACCGGAGATGCCACTTACGAATATAACCATCAAAAACCAGAATGAATTTGATTCTGTTACACTGGCATTGATTATACAAAACTAGCGAAGGCAAAAATAAGTAAAGAAAACTAGTATCATTAAAATAGGCATTTACCTAACTCAATCCCCGGGGCAGGTACTCCTGGGAATTCTTGGTGGGGGTGTGCCGCCCGGTTCTCCAAACCCTGACCCGATTTCAGACCAAATAATGTACTTTCCGCACCCGTTTTCAGATCAGACCTCTAAAATCCATACCTGTTTTCAGACTTGGGCTTTAGGCAAAAATTATGTTATCATTACTTAGATTATTTAAAGCGTAAACAAACAAATCCATCAAAGCCATTTCGAATTCTCCTTTTTTCTCTTTCTTTCTTACTTATTTGAAATTGAAACGATAAGTACGTTCATATGCTCCCGTAGTTCCCTCGAAAACCATACCCGTTTTCAGACCAAAAGGGCACAAAAGCCCTACCCCATGGGGCGGCATATGCCCCTGGGGGATACTCGGGATTTCAAGTGACGGGGATGATCAAATGGAGCCAAAAGTCAAGACCCAAAAAAATCCCTACTGCTTCCAGAAAAACCCAAAAAAATCCCTAGACCAAAAATAAACCCCCAAAAAATCCCATGCCGATTTTGTGGCCCTTAAAAGTTCCAGAAAGGGGTAATGCTATAACACAAAGAAAAACATTGGAAATTTAAACAACAGCAAAACACGTTTGTTTGTACTTTATTCGCAGAACTACGCAGCCAGGGCACAACCAATTCTTTTTAAGACCCCCCAAAAAATCTCTACTCAAATCAAGCTACCCAAAAAAATACTTGCCAAATTTTCGTACCCCAAAAAATCCCGGAATCGAAAATTTCAAACCCCAAAAAATCCTTCGATCATCCCCGTCACTTGAAATCCCGAGTACCCCCCCTGGGTCAAATGCCTATAAAGCTAATATAGGGGAGTACTCCCCCCGGACTCAATCCTAACTAAAACTCAACTCAAGATCGTAATTCGACAAATAGCCGATCCCGAATTTCCCTTCTTTAGTTTTAATATGCACCGATCACATTACTAGGGGAAGGGCAAACGACCGGGGAAGGGCAAACGACGGGATGCTAATCCATCGGTTTCCTTCGAATAATGAACCTCGAATGCCCATCCCAAAGGCAGGAGCGCCCACCCTCGAATTGCTCCTCCCCCCTGGACGGGATGCTAATCCATCCGAGGGTTACCTATTTATACACCTGAAAATGGGTGACGAGAGGGCGGTTAATCGAATAAATACGGTATACACCTGGGTGACGAGAGACAAAGTGGAGTAAAGTTCCTTGTCTAAGGAAACAACGCAACGGGCGAGGCTTGAACCCCGGACCTCCCGATCCGGAGTTCGAGGTGTTAACCACTCGGCCACATACGGCGTCTTGAATGCAATAAGCGAAGTTTATACGAACATGACTTGCGGCGATAATGCTTTTATCAACTATCGCTTATTTTCAGTTTCTCAGTCAATTTAACGTTCAAGTGTTTCCGTTTTTTCTCTGACTGGTTTTGTTTACTTTTTACTATAACCTTTGCGCCTGACTGTCGGTTTCTCCAAACCCTGAGCTGCCTAATCCAAATTTTATTGCATACCCTGTGTAATCAACATCATCTGGTAGGGACTGGTCGTGATTAGACTAAACAGTTTCTGGTTTGCACCTGACTTCACGGCAACTATAGTGCAGGTAGACAGAAACAAAAGTGTTGTGGGGAAAATTTCCGTATTCAGAAAAGCGGTGATTGTTGTCAATCACGTGAGCACTTCACTCACGTCCAATCAGCTGTCGAGAGGATACTAGTGGAAAAAATACGTTTCAAGACAGGACAAGTTGTGTTGCGTGGTGTGTGCACTCGACATTTGTACACTCAAGCGTGTGCATTGAAAAGTTGTCAAGTAGCAGAAGTTATACGAATGGACAAAATTATTGTCAAGTCGACAAAATAATTTGTCGAGTGGAAAAACTAAAAAGAATAACATGGCGGTAAAATAGAAACAAGAGCGTTACACATATCTATACAGCTGTGTATATCTCGTTCTTTAAGTCAGGAAGCCGAACCAAGCGCTCATGGTACGCATAGATGGCGGCAGAATAAAAAGTCTAAACACATATATTGGACAACACTTAACAATTCCACCGCACTGGTGATCCAGACCTCCATTTCAAACAGTTTTTTTCCGCTGAGAATTAAACTGTCAAAAACAGTCTATCGAGTACCCTTATGGAAACCTTCGATCGCAACTCAGGCTGCAAATAAAGCTGAAAAATATACACAATACATAATAATAATAATAATAATAATAATAATAATAATAATAATAATCATACTTATAATACATAATACACAATGAGCATAATTACTAGACCTACATATTACATAATACATATGTTATACATACTGGTATTACGGACATCATATCTTCATCTTTTTATAATTTATTTGTCTCTGTTGTTTTAAGCGATTACAAGAAGAAATTAATGAACAAATCAAGGCATACGTAAATTAAGGGCTGACTAGTTGCACTAAAATAAGAAATGGCAGTTTTGTTGCAATCATTTATTTGCTGACCTTGAAGTCAATGTTTGGAAACGTAACAGCGTTTAACTTGGAGTAAAGGCTAAAAAATACTCTATTTTTGCAATTCAGTATCATTGGTTTTTACTGCTTACGGTGACGACCACGTTGCTGTTCACAGAGGGTCACTGTCATCTATTTTTACACCTTTTGCCCTTCATGACCTTCATTATCAGAAAATAAATTTTCATTAACCTCAAAATATCAGTTAAATGAATGTGTAATCATTGCAGGAAAATAAACTAACATCTTAATTTTTGTGTCTTCAATAAAGATTTTTACGTAGAGAAGGACATTTAGTAATGCCAATAAATTTTTGACTTAATAGAAATGATAAACATACTAGACAATACAGAAACATTTGCAGTATCTAATTGTTCGTTAACGTTAATACATTACCATTTTCAACAGAGATTATTAGTGTTAAAAAATGGTCATGTTCCATATGCTTGCTTTTTGGAGTTTTGAGTTGCGTGAACCCAAATAATTCTTGATGTTATTGTATTCGGTTTTTTTATTTATCTTCCTGCTCGCTGATTTTACATTAGATGTATTGACTGAACATTGTACGTATCGCGCGGTGTTTGTTTGTGCCAGTACGGCAGAAAATTGAATAGTTGTAAATACGCGCCACTTCTGCAGTACGAGTTGTAGGTATATTGTAAAATTCGCTCCCGAATTAAAGCATGCCTCTAAATTCAAAGCGATGTTGGCAAGATAATGTACGTAAAAATAACAATTGTTATTGATAATATATTCTCATAAACGAATATTTACCCAAGGAAAATGAAACTTCATTCGCACTAAAGAATGTTGATTTCGATACCAAAAACGTCAGCGAAATTGGCCGTAATGATTGTTCTCCTTGATGCAAATACCTTACTGACTATGCCACAAAATTAAATGTTTGCTTCCTAGGCTAATTTGTTTATACATTAACAAAATAAAATGAATAATATGTTCACGTTAATAGAAATTTATTTCTCGGGTAATGAAGGGCAAAAGGTGTAGATCGAAGATATGTTACGTTTTTTTATCACTAGAGTAAATGTTATTCTCGAGCAGAAAAACTAGACACCCTTTCTTTCGTTCGTGGTGAATCAAATATAGTACCATCTCAAAATAAAAGTGGGCCGACGATTTCATGTGTTTGTTGGTCTCCATAAAGAAACTCGTGATTTCTTCGGTTTATTTATTCCAGTGTATAGGAATATTATTTGACTATTTTTGCCACAAAGACTGGAATAATCCCCGATGACACTAACTTAAATTATACGTCAATTTACGCACCTCGAGTTTTTTTTTACTATAAAGTCTGTTATGATCTTAGTGGTAAGATCATAGCTTAGAAAATATGTTACATACTCAGCCATTCTGAAACAATTTGCGCATGTGTTGTTATCAAAACTTTCATTTTCTAACCTTAAAACGTCACAATCAACTGTAAAAACCCAAACGTAATATTGCTATTTCTGTATTTTAAAGGAATGACGAGCATCTGAAAACAAAAATTAGCATTTTACCCTTCATTATGACGTTCAAGTCAAGAAATGATGCTGCATAAAAAAAGAGAGTTCCCAATGCAAAGATCATCTTAAAACGTTAACCTCACCAAAGCTGGTACTGTCGATTGACAAAGAGCAGAAACTTTACGTATTTCAGTTGAACAAGAGGATAAATGGCTGCTTGCCGACCAATTGTGGAGTGTGCAACTTGCAGCACGGATACTTTGCTGGTGAGGAAGTTAAATTGAACCGGAAGTACTATTGCTATAAGTGTCCAAAAAGAATGATTTCGTACATATGAAACTTTGAAGAGACATTTTGGGAGAATTTCGCACATTTCTCTTCAATTTTTCCGTTGTTTTCGATCGAAAAGATTTTGTGGACGGTCTTACACCTTTTTATTGAATGAAGTGACATCGTCAACCGGCTTTTTTTAAAAAGCCGGTTGACGAGCATAAAAAATATGTTAAATTTGTAGAGCATAAATCCACTAATGGGCCACTATTAAGAAGCAAAGACATTTTAGGTCTAAATATCCAACTACGTTTATAAAGATAAGTAAGAAAGTTCGGTATGTAAAATGACCAAGTCATTCTATATATTTATTTAGATTAAAAATTGTTCAGAAAGTTTGTGTGTCCAAACACATTTGTAATTCATAAAGTAACTACTCGTGATATCATCCTGGTAGAGAGAAAAGCTACTGCTTCAGTCCTAAAACAGAGTTTGAGCGAAAAATGAAGCAGTCGTACAAACAAATATCAAAAAAACCGACAAACTTTGGCTTGTCGGTGTTTACTGGTAGGTAGAATTTATTTTCATTTAGAATTTGCAACAAAATCGTAAAAATGCAGTTCACAAAATCCCCGAAATGTTTGTAAATTGTAAACAAAGTTCCTGCTAAGTGACGTTTTTGATTTACAAAAGTTACTTTTTTCATTTTTATCCATGATTTGGTAAATGCTGAAACAACTATCCCCCTCAGGGTCGTCGGTGAACAGCGCCAAATATTTAGCTCGACGCTTCGGGTCTCGGTATATAATCATCCACCACTACTCACCTCTCCTTCGGGGGATAGTTGTTTACTATTTATTAAAAGTGTTGATTAACGTAGGAAAATTAAACGACCTTCCCGGGGGTAAGGGGTGGGGGTACTCGACCAGTGGCCAGTGGGTATAGGTGATCCGCTGACCCTGACCCTGTTTAGGACAAAAAATTCCCCAAATACATACCCCGTTTAAGACAACACCCTCAATTTTAGTACCTTGTTTAGGGAAAGGACAAAATGCACGCCAGAGCAAATTCACGTTATAATCATCGCTTTTGTATACTTGGAATACAAACAAAATTCATCTAGCAAATCAAATCAATCGTGCAGGCAATACCGTGTTGATCGACTCACAAAAAATTTATACCAATTATATACCCTGTTTAGGACAGAGAGGTCAATAACCATACCCTGTCCACCGGCACATCCCCGTATAGGCCATATAAAGGAATACCCCCTGGGACATATTGAGAGACTGAAGAGCATGATGCAGGCCTGTCTATAGACTTTTTCATTTTATACCCTACCGACCAACGACTTATGGGCATTAAACGTGCTGAATGGGAATGAATTCAACATGAGCTTTGTTCTTAAGTTTTTCATATTCTTTTAATCATTCTACGCTCTCAAATTAAAGGTCACAGAAAAAGACTGTTTTGCCAACGAAAAGTGCTCCCGCGGCTCTGGCGAGAAGGAGAGAGCCAATTAAAATACCGTTTTTCCATTTCAAATACTTTAAATTCAATGGCAGATTGATTCAACAGTTTACTTAAGCCCCGGTGGCCTTTTCTAGCCCCATCACTCATGGTGTTTAATCATTAACGTTGCCTATCTCTCTCTCCTTTATTCAGATAATCACATGTGAAAGTGGACTGCACACATTCTGCCAGGAATGCGCGATGAACTACTTTCTCTCACTCGGAGACCCTAACACCGTGGCTGGTTCCGCGGAAGCTGGATTAAGCTGTCCTCTGACAGACGACTGTGGATCACAGCTCGAATTTGGTCTTGTGAGGGATATTCTGGGTCAGATAAATCGTGCTGCAGGACCTAGAGTGCAGAGAAATTTGCGAGAGCACATCTTGAGGTGTTTGGGGAGGAATGTTCGCATTCCCTGTCCAAACGTGGAATGCGCTTATTTCGTCATTCAAACAGAACACGATGATTTTCAAGAACTCTTTCTGTCTTGCCCCAATTGCTCTAAAACATATTGCCTCACCTGCAAGCACTCTCTCAGCTGTCAAGGTTACAAGGATCACATTTGCCCAGCTGATGATGACATAACCGACACTGACGCCAACCTAAAATTAAATGAAGTTCTTACCCAAGCTATTTCAGTTCGATGCCCCAATAGGCAATGCAGAGCGTCTGAGGGAGCTCCTCTCGCGGTCAAAGATCCTGCGGATTGCAACACAATGAGATGTAGCAGGTGTTACAGATTTTACTGCTTCATTTGCTCCATGGATTTGGGGAGAGAAAGCTACCGGGCACATCAAGCATTCCCTCACAGGTAACTGAGTAAATACACGCTCTTGCCTCTCTGCACCTAGTCTTGTTTCCTAGGGACGAGTAAGTTAGAGAGGGCCCTGCGAACGAGGTCCTGATTATGGACCATCCCACAATGCATTAATGGCCGTGTTAGGACGACTTTAAAGTCTAGTATAGCCAGAAAAGCAGACGCCTTTAATCTCTGACGACTTAAACATCTTGTTTTAAGTGCGTCGTTCAGACGCATTAAGAAACCGGGCGACTTTAAGACGTTAAATGCGTCCAGTATAAAAATGAGACGAAATGACTGAGACAGTGTTTTGCCCTTTTTTTTACAAAGGAATCTGTTCTTTTTAATTCCTTTCGTCTTACAATTTAACGTTAAATGCGTCTTGACGACTTAAACTTCTCTAGCATAAAAAAAAGGTCACTATGTACGTGGCGATAACTTTTTCGATTTTTTTTTTCAAAGAAAAAAGTTTCTTTCCCCATTTTGTAGTTAAGTAACGTCAGGAGCCCATAACCCGGAGCATCTAACTTCCATACTGCGCCTATCCAACGGCGTTTTCACAAGTAGGATTATTTTTAGATAAGCATTTCCTGCGAATTGCTTTCGAAAAACCAATCACAAGCAAGTGCGTCATCAATAATGAACTTTTAATACGTAACCAGGACAAATCCTTCACATTGAAAAAAAAAGCATGGAGGACGCACGTGAGGAATCTTCAGAGGATTCCTCTGACAGTACTTAAAGCGACAATTTCAGTATTTACAAGGAGACTAGCAGTTCAGAGGAAGATCTGCAAAACGTAGAAGAGCCCGGGACGTCTACGTCATCGGCGACAACGCATAATTCACGCAAAGGGAAATCGAAATCATCTTCGAAACAGCCGGCTGTGAAAAGGTCCAAGCGACAACAGTCATTTTTCTAGGAAAAAGCTTAGCTAAAAATAAACTCACTTGTAAAAACGCCGTTGCACGAATTTATGGCAGTTGCACGCTTCGGATTATGGGCTCCTGGTAACGTATAAAGGCCTAGTGCATTGAAAATACCCAGACCTAGCCCCTTAAAAGATAAAAAAAACAAAATGGTAAAAAAGCAGACAAGATCGTTGTGGCTTTCTAACAGTACACTTGCCTTAGTTCTTAGGCTGCGTGCAAACGGACGCAACAACTACCAACATTGTTGCGCCAACAATGTTGGAAGTTGTTGCGTCGGTGTTGGCAGTGGTGTGCAAACGGATGCAACAACTCCCAACAATGTTGGGACCTGCAGTGCATCGTGGGAAGGATACAACCCATAAGTCTTTGTAAACCATGCGTAATGAGCGTGCGTGGCCCCAACAATGTTGGAAGAGTTGTGCAAACGGATCCAACATTGTTGCGCTACGCTTCGGCGATCACGGAACAAAAGAAATGTTGGGAGTTGTTGGCTGAAAAGTTTGACCGGTTTCAAAATGCGCAACAACACGCAACGACATCCAACAAACATGCAACAGGGTGTGCAAACGGACACAACATGTAACATCCAACAATGTTGCGTCCGTGTGCAAGCAGCCTAAGGGAGAAAAGTCATCTAAATTTTGTTTTTTCTCTTTTACTTACAGGAACGCTAAAATGACAGAAGCGCGTCAATGTTGGCTTGTCAACGATGAAGAAATGCAGCAAACACATGAAACTGCAATAGAAATTCGACAATTGATCGCTGTTAGGAACTACCTGTTCTCGCTTGATGTAAGTGATGAGAGAAAAGTACGGCTTCTCGAACGCAATCGTAGAATTTTAGGAAACCTCCATTCTGCTTTACAAGAGGAGTTAGAGCGTACTAAAGTTACAGTGAATTGTGTCATTGTATAGAATACTCTCTTGAGGTAGCACACGCGATATCGGGGAGCTTAAGCAACTACGACAGCGATAGCTGCGAAAACGACACTTAAAAAGTGAATTAGCGCTGCCTCAAACTTTAACGCGCTTATTCCATCTCGTTCAATTTATCAAATATTGGCCAATTTTTCTGAAGTTGAATTCTAAAGCATCGCGTCAAAGTACAGGTAAAGAAAAAGAAAGTCGTTGTCTTCGGTTCACGTCCCCCAAAACGTGAGATTAGGCATTTTCACGTCGTAGTCATACAAAGTGACAGCAAAGAAATGTGCAAAAAAGCGTGATGCACGTACAAAGATGTTTTGCCAATCCAAACCTATTGCTTTTGTGCCGCTCTCGTTTTTGTCGCGGTTGTCGTTGCTTAAGCTCCTTACGTTTTTAAATTCGCTCCTGAAGATGTTCACTAGGGAACCAGGGCTTCGCTCACACTGCACTAGACGAATCTTTCACCGGCTGAAAAATTTAACCGGATACTTTGTTCACACTGGACCGTTCAATATTTTTGCCCTGTTACAGTGAAATTTGATCGGTTATTAAACGTATAAACTTTCGTACGAATTTTCAACCAACAACAACAACAACAACAACAACAACAAGTTTTAAACATTTTGGGCAATAGCAGAGAAAGTGAATTTCATCTTCAATTTCATTAGAATCACAAACTGGGCATAATCTTTTGTCGCAAGGAGTTTGGTTGTATCTTTCGATCCAATCTGGCTCATTTATGATTGCGTACGAGTAATTTTAAAATTTCACAGTTATAGGATAGTAAAGGGTTGATCATCGTGTCGAATATTTTAAAACCAGAAAAGGTTTTAATCCACTAATGCCTGTGTTTTTTCGCGAACCGAAAAGGGCGAAAAGGGTTTTCTCTTTCATGAGTGTTCGAGAGACACATTAAAATTACCAGTTGAGGAGACTCGGGTTCCTAAAAATGTGTATTCGTGTACAATATCAGTGGTCTTTTTCCCTGTGTCAATATGTGGAATTCTAGGTCGGAGTTTGTCAACCAGTTGAAAATTCGTCATGTGCAGTGGAACTTAGCCACCTTTTTCAATGTGGCTATCGACAGACCTTTTCACGGTTTTTTCAACTTTTTATATGGACAAGTTCGGGAAAATCCGTCGACATCACTGAAAAGAGCAACTTAAAATTAGTAAAATTGCCAAATTTGAAAGGGATACGTCTTTAGCATGCGAAGATTATAATAGCTCCACAAAGTTGTGAAAATTTACCGACGTTTGTATGGTGGGGAGCAAATCTGTGCTCCCCCACAAAACCAACGAGACCAACGTCTGTAAAATTTCGGGCCTTTGAGGAGCTATATCTTCATTAGTAAAATCCAACTATTGGTCTATTATCAATGCTGCGTTCTGATTGGTTGAGCTACTACTAGGCTATATGTTATAGCCCCCTAGTATCGAAAAGCGTGGGCTTTTTGGCGGCAAAAAAGGATGAAAAGGATATTTTTGACCAACTGGGCTATTGACGCAGAGCCCATTCGGGCTCGAGGAATAATTGTTAATTAGCTTTCAACAAATCACTTTCAAACTTGGCAATTTTATTCGTTTTAAGGCGCTCTTTTCAGTGGTGTCGAAGGATTTTCCTGAACTTGTCCATGTGAAAAGTTGGAAAAACCATGTAAAGGTCAATTTGCAGTGCAAAAAATCAAATTAGATTTAGTGAGTTACCTTTGTCATGTTTAAACGTTTATTTGTTTTTAATAACTTAAAGAGGAGCTTTTAGTCTTTCATAAAATATATAACACTATTTATGGAAGGGGCGGAAAAAGTGGCTCTAGATTCTGAAGCCTATCGCAGACAGTACAAACATAAATTATGTGAGCAGTTAAAATTGGTGTTCATGGATCTCTATGTTAGTAGTGCTTCTGAATTCATCGTATGCTTTTTTCGCGAGTAAAAACCAGCCTAGACGGCTTTACTTTAGCAATCTTTGTAAATAGCTGTATAATTGCTATGCAAACAGTATATATTAATTTTCATAACTTTGTGGGTTACCCCACAACATGGCGCCAATGTTGCCTAGTCACTAGGTCTCATTATTCCGCGCGGCCTATGAGTTTGGGGTCACGTGCTCCGAGCGAGCTCCGAAATGCCGCAATTTACCGTAAGACGCCGTACAGAGAAACTAGGCAACCGTAGTTTAGAACTCGGAGAGTTTGATACTCTTATCACGTTTTTGTTGGATACTGTATAATCATCGATGTGAATATTTTTATCAAGTGGAAATAAAGACAATTAACAAAAACATAATGGTTGTTTTATCGCCAAACTTTAGATTACGAATAGCTCTGCCTTTGCAGGGAAAAAATGTTGTTGCAAGAGAAATTGCAAGGGTCAAGTGTCGGTTCAGATGTGAACAACGCGTTTCTCGCGATCAACAACATTTTCCTGAAGACATCAGGCCTAGGGCAAACTTCGAACTTTTCATGAATCAATGAATAAAGAGTCGTGGATGAGAGGACAACAGACGTACCCTCTTACAATACATTTTAACACGTGAACAATAAGCTCGGACGTCAGTATACAAAGGCGCCACTGGCAGCCGCTCTCAGTCCGTTTATGAGCTTACTGTACCCACCCTACCAATGATGTGAATGATGTGATGTGTTTAAGGTTGACCACACCACCGGGGTCTACGTCCCCTAATCTTGTCGAACAGTGGTGTGAGCCGAAGTTCTTTTACGTCCCACAAGAACCAGATAAGTGAAAGTGCTTTGAAAAGGGACCTACGGTTTTTTGTCCTTACCCGAGAAGACTAGAAAGTCTAACCAATTGCAGATGTCATTACAAAGGCAGCACTTTCTTCTCAGTTATTTAAAGAGCCTGAGTGTTGGTCCGGCCGGGGTTCGAACCCGTGACCTCCCGCTCAGCAGACCGGCGCTCTCCCAACTGAGCAAACCAGTCGGCGGTTCATGCATGAGACGAACCAAAATGTAATTTGGGTCGACCTGTAGCTATCTAGTGTAGCTACTCTAAAATTCGAGTGAAAATAAAGGTTACGTATTTATGTATGCAACATAAGACAATTCGCCACTTTGAGGTTGCGCGGGAGACCGGGTCGAGATGGTTGTCAAAGTGCATTGTGGGACAATTTTGGGGGATGCTTTTTCAGCATGGTGGCAAACTCATCCTTTAAAACAGTCCCACAATGCACTTTGACAACCATCTCGACCCGGTCTCCCGCACAACCTCAAAGTGGCAAAAAAGTCCAAAGAAACTAAGAAAAAAAAACCGTCCCATAATGCAATACAACGCAACGGCGACGGAGTCTCCAGGGCAACTTCTTCAAAAAGGCCAATGGAACAAGCGGGATAGCGCCCATTTTCGTCCCCAAAGCCATTCGGCATTTTTGAAATGAACGAATTAATCGAACTCATGAATAAGGGGCTATTTGCATGATACCGGAATGACTTTCATTCTGAAACGAGTTCATTCCATCTCCTTATATTTCTCTATAGTGTTTACGTGATACCAAAACGACATTTCGTTCCCGTACAAGTCATTCGGAAATTAAATCATTCCGGTTTTTTATCCGAATTAAACTCTCGTTCTGGTACGAAATTTTTTCTGGTATCATGTAAACTGAAATCGAAAATCGTGTTTAAACCGTATAGTCTGGGGTGAAGTGGCGCATGCTTATTTCATCTGGCGCGAAAACCACGCGAGCGAAGCGTGAGCGAGAATTAGAACGCCAAAGGGTTGATTTCCAGTGCCGCGTAATTTTTACGTGCGTACGTGCGTAAAATTTACGTTCGCAAATAAAATAGAGGCAATGCATGAAATGTTCGCTCGTAAGGGTAAAACTTGAACCTCGCTCAACTTCTCGTTTAAGCTCAGCAGTTTTTATCTTGCCTCTCTTTTATTTACGTGATTACAATTTACGTGCTTTAACGTTCGTAGCCAAACACGCGTCAGTGGAAATCAACCTTTAGGCTGAGCTGTTCGATTTCAACATGTGAACGCAGTACGAACTTCACTCTGCCAACGAAACTCGTTGCGGAGAGCAAGTCACACCGGTATCATATAAACAGCCCCTAAAAGAAACGACAGGGGTTGGGGGTCCAAAATTGCGCATTAATTACCATTTAATGCGTTATTGAGCATGCTTGTTTGCGCAGTTGGGTAATACGTTGTCTTCAGCTCTTTGTTCAACCGCTAGTCACGTGAAGAAAAGTACGAAAGCTTTGAGCGATGACAATTTGAGGATTGTAGTTGACGTTAGGCCATTCTCGTACTCCGAGGAGGTTAGATGGCATATCATGAGAACACAAAGACGATCATGATGAATCAGTCATCATATTAAAACCGCTCTTGACTTATCGTGTCAGTAATACTGGGAGCTGAGTAGTCCGTCTTTTGTCCTCCACGAAACTTCAGACTGCAGGCAACAATCATTTAAGGCAAATATTTACAGGAAGCTTTTAAATTTATTGGCTCTACAAGCCCGTTTTGCTTTCTCCAGCTTTTGTTCATTGTCCTTTCAAACGTGCGATTGAATTTCTTATTCGCGATCCTATCAGTAATGCGTTCTTCTCAGTAAGGTTATGTAGCGAAGCAACCCAAGCGTTATTGACGCAATTAAATTTTTCCAATTAGGACTAGGCAGCAAGGTGAATTTTGTATTTTAGTAAGTTATCGTTCTGCTCTCTCTGTACGTATCCTTGCGAGATCGTTTTCATACCTCAACACCGAAACGTTTTTTTGTTGTGAGTTTTTACACGGTTTTGTACCTTTGACGAGTAATAGCTGACGCCCGGGAGCTAATGACGAAAAGCAGCAAATGAAACATGGATGTCACCGATTTTAAATCTTATTTTCAAATGAGCGTTTGGCCTTGTTTGACTAATCATTAGTACGTCCAGTAACACAAGGATTAGTCGGCTAGCCTGCCTCTAATTACAGGTTTAATTTCAAATTCTTCTTGTTTAAAAATACCAGATTAAACTTACGGAAAGTTTCTGCGCTTTAAGTTAACCTTAAAAGAAATATCCTCATACTTAACTGAATTTTTACGGTGAAGTTGTAAGCTATGCCTACGAAAAGAGGCACTACTTTTCTCAGGACTCTGAACCAGTCAGTATTTTTGGGTTTTCGGTATATGTT